CTCAACTCGAAAAAATGGAATTGGGAGACCCACCCTTCGGTAGGGTTACTTTTGAAAGACGTTCTGACCAAACCTGGAGTCTCCTCTAAAGCTAGCTATATTTTATAGGCGAAACTAAGTAGGCCAAGAAACGACTGAAACGACTTCATGCCTTTTGCCGAAGGGCGCGCAGGCAGATGAGGAGTGTCTGGCTGTTCCCATCAAGATTCATAGGCAAGAAAGCAAACCTACCGAAAACCATGATGAATTACAGGGGATGCCCTTGCTCCCTACTTGCCTCTTTTGTAAGGAACATAGCGAATGTAAGGAGTGGTTGGTTTCGTCAAATGGTGACAAAGAGCCATAGCAAGGGGAGCCATAGGAAGATATTAGACCTTCGTGGTCCGTAGTGGCCCGAAATAGTCACAGTTACACTAGCCCCCTTTGCTACGGCTCAAAACGGGTGTTGCAAGACGGTGACCCCGTTTCCTTTCGTATCTCTTTTACACCACCCGGGGTGTGGAGACCAAGCATGTTTTGCAGGCCTTCACGGTTGGGGTTTCAGGCGATGGTTTCAGGGGTCCGGCTGGGTGGGTTGAGCCCGCCCGGGGGAAAACTATGGCACTACAGTGGCTGCACCACATCCACTTCGCGCCTGCTGGAAACCCCGAAGAATTGGGGATACACCACTCACCAACGGGTGCCGATCGGCGTGGAGTTGGTCTATGTTTACTTGCTGGTCAGGGAATGAGGGAACGAACATGGGGATTCCCTTAAACAAAAACCATGGGGGGATTCCCTTAAACAAAAACCAGGGATGGTTTCCCTGAAAAACCATGGGGGATGGTTTTAGATGTCATTCAATGAATCATTCCCTCGTCGTTTCCTGAGCACCAGCAACCTCTGAGGTCTTTGCCGCGCGGCCGGGGCCAGTCACGGTCCTGGCGAGGCCGGGAAAGTGTGCGCAGTTCCGTTCGAGAGAAGAGGCAAACCGCAGCTGGTCCCGCGGGTCCTTTCAAGAACATCCCTTTAAGGCAAAACCCGCGAAATGGGTTCCACTTGTTTTGGGATCACTATTGTACCACTTGTTTCTGATTCCTTTCTACCATGTTTTCGTGTCGCGGTCATTTGCATGCGGAGAGTGTCAATGTCCGTCATGGGCTTCAAGGCAGGCCGCCTTGCTACCTCAGGGCCGGGGAGTGATCCAGCGAAAAGCTTCCCGCGCCGATGTCGGGGCGTTTCCCCTAAACTTTGGCGGCAGATGTCTATAGTGGCTCAACGGATCCCCGAACGGCTCTGGAAGGGTCCCACCAATATTCAAGAAGTTTCTCAAAGAAACTACTTTGCACGGTCAAAAAATCGAAACATCAAACACAAAAACACCAAGGTCCGAAGGTTAAAAGTCGTGTCCTGCCATTGAATTATCAAGTCACAAGAGCAGCGTATTCACTAGTCAGGAAAATCAGAAACAACCTCCACGAAGAGAATAAGTGTGCTCCAACAGCAAAGTTCCTTAGTTGCAGGTTCATTTCTTCTTTCTTTCAGGTTGGTGAGTAATGGGATGGTTCATCCAGATTCAACTTCTACATAGAAGGTACAAGGCCCGCAAAAGTTTGGTTGATTCCTCAAGGTATTCCAATTCATTGGATCAAGTTCCGCTCGATTGTTATGGAATAAGTTATGCATAATGTGTACAATATATACAATATATATATATATATTGATATTGATATTGATATTGTACAATCATATGTAATGAATACTATATGCCACTCACGTCGGGTGTCGTTTTTTTGAGTTGGTGCCTTTTTGGGGTGAGTTGCTTCTCATCCGATGGCTCCGACATTCACGGCCAGTCCAGTCTCGCCATCCTCCAAGCCTCAGCCCACGGTGCAGGGCCTCGGAAGGCTTGGGCTTTCATATGCACAATACGCCTTTCGGTTGCCTGGTTGTTGTTTTTTTTCCAGGGGAAGGGACAGGCTGTTTGAAACAATGGTTCTTACATCTGGCAAAAAGCGCCTTTTTCCAAGCTCGGGACGGTGGAAACCCCTCCCGATCCCGACAAGCAAAGAGGGGCCCTTTAGGGAAGATTTGAGGCAAGGAGGTAGAAAAGCACGTTGGCTGATTTGGAATTCCTTCGATGAATTAGGCAACTTGGATGTACATCTTTCGAGCCGTTCAGGGCATCCCCGGACAAAGGGTAGGGAGCTCTTGGCTTGACGTCGAAAATTGGTGCGAAGCCAATGGCTTTTGGCGGCCGGCCGTGTGGATGCTCCTCTTCAGTTTTGTGTTGGATGGCTCCATTGGCAGCAATTTGTAAGCCAATCTTTGCGAAGAAACCGACTTGCGAGGCTTCCCATTCCTATTTGGGTGGTTATGGTTCGGTACTGTTTTTGTGGCTTCCCTTTCGCCGGAACTTGAGGCAGGGGGGTGTCCAAAGACAAGCTGAATGATATATGTACCATTGTTTGTATTGCGAGGGCAGCCAAAAGGCCAACACTTTACCGTTCCAAGTATGTTTCCGCTTGTTTGGTTTTGTTCTTTTTAGTTGGGGGGGGGTGCAACTGTTCAGTTTTTGGTTGACATGCCAGCAGGTGCTGCGGGCCTTTGCAAAAGTTGCAAAAGATCAGCCAGCCTTGTGGCTAGAACTTTCGCAAACGGTTTCCTTCTGCTCTCTACGGACCAAATGTCTAGCCGTGCCAATCGATTCAGTCGACTGCCGACCTGGGCTGAGGCCTTCGCAGCCGGGCCGATGGATTGGATTTGCGAGGCCGGGCGCCAGAGGTTGCTCGCATAGGGCATAGCCAGGAAACGGGTAAGTTGGGTGAATCGTGGCTTAGGGCTTCTTTGAACAGCCAACTTTTGTGTGGTTGAGAAGACTTTTCAAGAAATCACGTGTGGGGAAACACTTGTTTTTGCATTTTGCGTGTGGGTACAATATGTTTGAGTGAGCAGCTGGCAAAGAGGGTTTGCTTCTTGAGCTTTGAGAGTGGGTTGTTCTACTGGCAAAGACTCCGCATGAGGCAAACTTGGATTTAACCGTGGTTCCCCCGTACCTGCCCAGGGAGAGAGGGGGGCGTTGCCCTCCTGTGTGCTCCCATTGTAATTCCTCATTTAAACTCGACTATTTTGCTTTTGTATGGGTTCCTTGTTACTTTTCAAGGGGGGAAGTCAACTTCAACCCACAGACAATTGGTGTTCTGCTTGAGCAACGGAGACGGAGGGCTATCGACATGGGACAGTCCCTCTGTCATCTTCTTGCGTATTGATCTACAGGACTTAAGATCATGGCACGTGCCAGGCGTTTCGGCCCGGGCACGTGATGAAAGCGTGTCTGCAGATTGTGTCACTTTGGCTCTTTAAACCGGATTGACAAACCTCTGATGGATCTTCACCTACGGATGTTTACCTATTCTGGGAAGGGCCCAGATTACTTTTGGAGGAGTCCCCCCCCCTATCAATGCAGCCTCATGCTCTTTCAAGATCGGTGTGTCTCTTTCCGGAGTGCCTAATCTGTTGTGACCGGGATCACTTTGGCCACTTTTCATCCTGTATCTGAATCGTTGGTCCACATTTCTCGGGTAATGTGATAATTTCGTTGAATCTGGACCGTTCTATTCATATTCAGACGGGGTTCCCATTTCAGTGCGGAAAAACCTGGCATTTGAATTGTAGGGGGGACTCCTGGGAGTGGTATGTTCACCATTGTCCTTCCTGGATATAAATCCGAACTTAACATTGTCGCAGACTCCCACCCGAGAAAGCGTGATCCGTGATAGGAAGCTCTCTTTGTGGGACGCTGTTGTTACAAGGTAGCATTCCTATGATATGTCCAGGGCTTGGTTTCCTTAGCAGGGGGTCTTTCTCGGTTGTCCCCGAATGGACTTGAACCCGGCATAGGTCCTCACCATTGATCTGATTAGGGAAATAGGGGTGCTGGGAATAAACCCTTTCAGGATCTAAAGGAAACTACCTAGAGGGGGGAATGTAATTCCTTGTTTGGGTTCCCTTGTTTTTTTTGGTTGAACCATTTTTTGGGTTCTTTGCGGAAAGAAAAAAAACAAAAAACAAAAACAAGAACTACATCCCCCCTTCTAGGTACCATGAATTTCTTTTTCGCTCATTCCCCTATCGAACCAGAGAGGCCTGGGTTGGGCTCCAGGTCTGTATGAGGAAGTTCCCCTCGGAGGAAGGGTTGCGCGTCTCGGCGAACCGGTTTTGGGGGGCCATGGTTCTGCAGCCGTCCGAATTTGAGGGGTCCCGAATTCATTTCTTGTGAGAACCGCCAGGCTCCCTTACAGAAATTGGAGGGTGAATTTAAGAATGTCACTCGAATGGGCCCAGTGGTTCCAACTTATTTTTTGGGATATCTCTTCAGAACACAAGCAAATTCCCAACGGAATGTGCGTGGTTTCTCAAAACATTGAGTCAACAGAACTGGGGTTAGCCTTTAGACTTCCGTCTTCGGGTGGTTTCAAACATCTCCTTTTGGTAGCCTGATCATGTGAAAGAGACCTTTGCAAAGCCCAGATTAAGAGACCTCCGGTTGAATGGGGTGTCCCATTGACGCCAAGCTTCACCTTTGGTTGGACAACCCCCACAAATAAAAGCCAAAGCTGAGACATCTTTGGAATACATGGGAGTGTTAGGGAGTTGCCGTCCACATGGGAGGTTCATTACAGCCCCTTTTTCTCACTTCCCCGTTTTGGACTAATATTTCTTGAAAAGACCAATTTCGTGGTACACAAGAGTCCGGACCAAAAGAACAAGGAGCAAGAATCAACTTGTCGACATCATCCACAACCCACTCCATAAAGTCTTTTGAGCCTTGTGCAGCTGCACGTTGCTCAAGTATTTGCCCCCCTCTCGACCACTCAAGAGCCATAGTATGCTTTTCCCATCATGAAGTGCACAACCCCTTTTTTGCAAAAACAAACATGGAGAATTAGTGCACAACCCTCTTTTGCAAGGGAACTACATGGACAATTCATTTTCCGTAGGGTTGCACGCTGGGGTGAGCCATGTTGCTGACAGTCAGCGACCTGGGGCAGACGCGCTGGGAGAACGTGGAGTTTGAGGCGACGGACACTGTGGCCGCGCTGAAGGCGAAGGTGGGGAGCCAAAATCGAGATTTGGAGCCCCGGAAATGGCGGTCTCCCTCGGGAAAAGGAAAAAACGACCCCAAAGTGTGGCGGTTTTTGGGCTTCCCCTGAAGACCACCCCAAAAAGAAGGTAGCCCACCACACACACACACACACACACACACACACACACACACACACACACACACACACACACACACACACACACACACACACACACACACACACACACACACACACACACACACACACACACACACACACACACACACACACACACAGTGGTGCCAACCCAAAAAACAAAAGAGTTACCACCCCCCCCTCCACAAAAAAAAAAAAAGAGACACCACCCTCGACCCCCCCCAAAAAAACAAGAAAAGAAAAAGAGACACCACCCCCACAAAAACAAGAAAAAGAAAGAAAGAATAACGTACCACCTCCAAAAAGGAAAGAAACGCCCACAGCCAGGTAGAAGAGCTCTGGCACTTGGAGCCCCAAAGGCAGCGCCTGCGCTGCGTCTGCGGCATGCAGATCCTGGAGGCGTCACGTTGGTTTTCTTCGAAGGTTTGGTTGCAACGTTGAAACGAGAGTAGTTGCAACATGTTGCAACTTCAGCTTCAAGAGTTGTGAAGATGTGTGTTTTTTGTTTGTTTGTTTTTTGGTGCCGGCCGGAGGCAAGATTCGCCGAAAGGAGATTGTTGAAAGGGGTTCTCAAAGATGTAACAGGCCCTGTGCTTCCAGGCAAGCCACAATAGCAGGGAGCCCGGCATGTTCGTTGCCTATAAGTTTTGCATGATGAGTTCACCTTGGCTGCTACAATTCTGGTAGCCTCTTTGGTGGTTTGGATTGGTTTGGGATTTGAAGTCGGGGTTCATATAGAGGGTAGATGTGAAACTGCCCTAACTTCCAACCAATCCAAACCTCCAAGGGGAAGGCTTGCCTGAAGCGCGAGGGGCTGAGCTCAATATCGAAAAATCGGTTCGGCCCTTCGAGTGCGTGCATAGGATTGTGGAACCCATGTCTTAGAAACCCTTCAGCGAAAACCACCACAGTTTTTTTTCATTCAATCTCAACACGCAACCAATGGCTTGGGATCGAGGGCGAGCTGATAGGACGATGAGGCGACCTTGGGCTCTTGCGTGAAGCACGAGGATTGCATCACGGTGCTTCTGGAGGCCCCCGGGCCCATCCTGCTGAAGGGCTCCGTGAAGGATTCCACGGCTTTTCGTTCACACTGACAAGCCACGTGTAATATGATCAATATAATGTGTACAGTCTGACTTCTTGAGCCATTGAAGCTCCTTCTTTCGGGTTTTTGGGCTTGGCTGCCGCGTTTGTGGCAAACAACAAGTTTGGACTTGTTTGGGCAAAACTTCGATTGCGCACCTCCCAGCATAGTTTTCCATCTAAAAACCACTTCTTAAACCCCAAAAAGGGGGCCTTCAAGAAAGCCAAGCTCACCCAGTGTTTAAGCAACCTCCTTTGAGTCCTCTACTAGGTCCCCCAGTAGTGCCCTTTTACCCTTTTTTGTTGGGAGGATTCCCCTACTAAAATAGACTACTGAAACAAGTTGGTACCCTTATTTTAACCTCTCTACTGGAGGACCTAGTCTATAAAGATTTGTGTTTTAAGACATTTTGAGCCTGAAGGACGACGGTGACGGTGACTCAGATGAGCTGCGAACTGCCGTGACGTCGCCTAAGCTGCAGCACCCGGTCTTCAAGGTGGGCTGAAGAGCCCCGAAAGGGTCAGCCCCAGCCCCAGAAAAGGGTCGCCTCAAAACTTGCTTGTGTGATAGGTGGGGACTGAGAAATGGAATGAACCCAGCGGTCCCCTTAAAGGAAACCACAAGGGATCATAAAGGATGGTTTGTAGGGGCGCAGGGGGCTTTCCGCCATTCCCTGCTAAGAACCAGCCAGAAAAGAAGACGCGCAGGTGGAGATTTCCGTTGCCCAGTACAACTGGAACAGTGGCAGCAGCATTTGGCTCACTCTGCGAAGCCCGGAAGGCGAGGTCTTGGCCAATGAAAAGTTGAGCCCGGCGCGTGAGGGTGGGGATTGCCCAAGCTTCGAAGCGCCGAAAAGCCTCACCTTCTCACAGGACAGGGTCGAATCGCAATGCCCCCCAAGGGTCAAAGCAGACTTAGTACAGACTAGGTCCCCCAGGGGGAGGGTTCCCCTACTAAAATAGACTACAGACAAAAAGGGTACCTTATTCTAACCCCTCTACTGGAGGACCTAGCTCAGCATGTTTCCGTTTCAGACCACCTTATTCTGGATGAAAGTGGCAATGTTTTGCTTTTGGCTTTCTATCAAAAATACCAAAGGGGGGTCCATGAGAAACCTGGGCTTCCCGAGAGGAAACTCCAAGCCAGAAACATGCGGGTGCATTAGATGTGCGAATTGTCACTTGGGGGGACTTTATCTGCCTACCAAATCTACCAATTGTGAAGATGTGGCGTTTCTTTGTACTCTAGTTGATCCATATGTTGTCATACCCAGTGCTTCCCGGCAAGCCATTGCAGCTGGTAGGGGGCTGCACAAAACGACTATAAGTCCGAAATTTGGAAATCATGACATCTAAAAACACATCCTAGGTCCCCCAGTAGTGCCCTTTTGCCGATTCTTTTTTGGGGGAGGGTTCCCCTACTAAAATAGACTACAGAAAAGAAAGTTGGTACTAGGTACCCTTATTCTGACCTACTGGAGGACCTAGCCTCTAGAAACCATTCTTCGGTCCAGGAAGACGAGGTTGTGAGTCTGGCGCACGCGGGGTGTGCCTATGAGCTTCGGTACTGCGTCGGCGGAGGAGGCAACCACGCCATTCAGGTGGATTCGTTTTAAAACGCCGGGGCCGGTGGTTTTGGTGTCCGGTTGGGGCGTCAGAAAACCCTTCGTTGGTTTGGATTGCTGATTTCGGACATGTGCCTGGTTCTTGGGGGCAGATGGGCAACCACCCCCACAAACCTCTCATCTCCCCCCAAACCTTTGAACATCCTGTGAACCACCAAATCCACCACCAATTGGAGGTAAGCTGACCCAGTTAGGGCATACCCGTGTTTTTGTGCTAGCCGCAGTTGGGGCTTGCTGTTTGGTTGGTTGGCCCGTCGGTCGGTTGGTTGGTTGGCTGGTCAAGTGGCCGTACCCCTGCTCCCTTTGGTTTAAAGTGACAACACGGGTGGTATCCCCAGCAGCAACCCCCGGTCCCCTGTTTTTCACACAGGTGAAGAAGTGGATTTGCCGCATTTGCTTCACCTCCGAGAAAGAACCGAGCAAGATCATCAGATTTCCTGGAAGGGGGGATGTCACTGAAAGCGACTCCTCCGGCTGCACGAAGATTTGGGGTATAATGTCATCGGATTCCGACTTTTGACTCGGATGCGTTTTCTACGAGGGGTGTAGCGCCCCAAAGTCGGCCCCTTTCGAAGAAAGTTCCTTTGAGCGGGGCCAAGGGCCAGGTTTCTCATCCTACACTCCTCGCAGGGCTCCCTGTATTCCCCTGAGCTAATGTTGAAATTGTGTGCTTTTCGTGGGGTGATGTCTGAAAGGGAACATAGAGGGAGCCCTGTTTCATCCAATTTTGGTTTCAGTGCTCAGCTGGGAGGCAAAGCTGGAAAATGCACCCAGCACGGCGCAAGAAGCCATTCTTACCAGCGCTCTTGGTACAGCCCTGGCCGGTGTCCGGCCAGTGAACCGCTCGACCTTTTCGAATGTTGATTGCATCAACTTACTGGGTGATTCAAAATCAATCCTTCATCCTTATTCCAGATTGGTAGTGGAGTACGGATTTGGATTAGGGATCCCTACATCCCAGACTCATCATTGCATCCAGAGTTAAACTCATAGTTATCAAGAGTTGGGAGGTGGGGTCTGCACTTAGCGTGCAATGACACGTCGGCACAACCCTTCCAGCGGATTCGGCGACGGGACCCCAAAAGGGTGGCTGGGTGTTAAATCGCCCGTGAGCTTCAATTAGTATCTTCCCGAAAGACAACGAATAGGGGATATTTAACGAATATTTCAACCAGACAGGCATGTCAATGTTTGCTTATGTGGCTAAGAAACAGATTGGGGGCCCTTTCTGTTGAGACAAACATGACTTGTCCACCCCCGACCATCCCGCAAAGTTGCTTGATGGCCCAGGACTGAAGTTGGGGGGTGGGGGGGGGAATCTAACTGGGAAACCAGTCCACATGTTGGCATTTTACACCAGCCTGGAGAGTCAAACGTCAAGGAATTCCTAGTCATTCTCGGCATTGACCCTGTTTTGGATGCAAACGCCAGCAAATTACCGCAAACGCCTAGAAACAGGAAACGCCCGCAAATTGCCGCAAAACGCCCGCAAAAAAGGGGCACACCTCCGCAAAAAAGCGCAAAAAAAGCGCAAAACTCCTAAAACGCCTAAAACGCCTTGAGAACCAGAACGCCTAGGAATTCCTCGGCATTGGAATCTCCAGGAGCATTTGTTTCGGCCGGTCAGAAGTCGCACTTTCACTGGTACCCATGAGAATCATCCAGTGCCCCCTGTCGAGTCCACCTCACTGGTTCCCTGTCGAGATGCCATCATATGCCATCTCAGCCCACTGCCTGTCACGGAGCCCTACGACCAGACCTCAACAAGACGACCCAATTCCAAGGGTAGACAAAAGGATTTGTGTTTCGTTGGAGGTTCCCAGCAAAAACCAACAGTTTACCCTTGCGGGTTTCTTTGGTCCTCATATTTGGTGTTTGTGGACCGCATGCTTGGTGGAGTATTCGTATTTCCTTCCAATTGGTTGGGGAGATACCCTTTTTCATGGGAAGCCCAGATGAGGGGGCCAGTGTTTGCCCAAGAGGTGCAACGGCCATCCGGAGGCAACCATAACATGGTCCCCTCCCGACCAACCCCGGGCTTTGTTACAATCGCTGAACTGGCCGAGGCAAGCACGAGCAGCTCTCGGAATTGACACCCTGGCAAGTTTCGCTTACGCTGCTGAGCGAGCGATCAATGCTCTCCTAGTCAATTAGTTTTTCGAAGGGCTAAAGGCTTAAGCCTCAATAGGTCCAAATTAGGGCTTGGCAAGGTCTTTACAGTTGGTCTTGGGAAGTTGGTGGGATCCCTGACGAACTAGTTCTGCTTAAAGCTCGCTTGGGTTCCCTCATTTCTTTGGGCTGTGCCCGCAAGAGGCCAAACTGGGAGATCCCCTCAAGGCTCTTCTTCGCGAAGGGGCACAAAGTAGTTGACCCACATGGTTGGAAACAATGTTTCTTTTGGGAGGGGATGAGCAGGGCAACAGCAAACACTGGGCCAAGATTCCACGGCCATATGTCATCTATTTCCCGAACATGGCACAGGAAGATTGGCTGGGCCCGCTGTCTTTTGCAAAGTCCAGCCGCTCAGCTCTGTGCGTACCCACTCAAAATGGTCAACCAACCAGCAAGGGTTCCCGTTGTCTACCGTTCAGGTGGGGCAACCATGGCACCAATCACTCTACCAATTGGTTTGTCGATGCTATGGCAGGGATTCCACCCCGCAGCACAAAAAAGGAACTACCCTCCTGTCCATCAAACATGGAAAAGGACCCCCCCAACACACACACACACACACACACACACACCCAGCCCCCGAAACGTCAGGTTCCACCGCAATGAAGGGTCAGCCTTCGGGATGGAGCTGGGACCTTCGCCAGGCACAAGCAGAACCTTCAGAAGCTCGGGGTGGCCATGTGACGCGCGCAAGACGCGTCACCGCAACCCACCACTTGCTTTTCCCTTCCCGGGGGGGGGGGGGAAGAACATGGGAGTATTTTATTGCCCCAACCTAGCGTCAATATCAGTTTTGCAGGTGGTATGTGTTGTTGGGTTTGATGAACAATATGATGTGTGTATGTACTTGACTTTAATTGAGGCTTTGTTCAAGGACGCCAGGTAGGCAAATCGAAGCCAGCCCCTGGAAGATTCCCCCCCGCCCCCACATAAGTCTATGTTGCATGTGGGGGACCATTTCCAATTCTTGAGCGTGGTGAATTGCATGAATGGCCAGTTGGAAATGTACGTAAACAAACTTGGGGGTATGATCAGGAGATTGAGGGTTAATTGAGGGCCCATGCAAACTTTCCCAGCGAGAAATGTGGGTTTAGGGTTCCTGTTGTTTCGTTTGAATTTGCCTGAGCCAGACTCACCATCGTTTGGGTTTCATCCATGGCCTGGTCTTTAGTAGAGCTTTGTCCCTTACCCTCTCAACATGGAAGTGCACAGGCTCCCTGTCAGTTTTCCACAGGGGTCTGTGCGCTTCCTTGTTTGTTGGTGGGCAAGTCTTCTGAAGTCGGATTCTCCAATTTGACCAAGCGTTGGAATTGTTGCGGGGGAAGTACCCAGGCCACAAAACATGTTTTCCACAAGTCCAGGTCCCATCCGTGGACGGCACCTTAATGAGGCTACTGGTGGTCGACGACCACGCAACAGGTGTGAGTCAGTTTGAGTGCTTGTCTATAGTTGTGGGTTTTGTCGAAGACAATCCAAACGAGTCTACCATCTAGAGAAATTATAAATTACATCCATATGTGAGGCTTTGGCGATACTCTCCTTCATATACGCCATGTGAAGAGTTGAGCTTCCGGAAAAGCTGCAGAGAACTGCTACAACACATGCTTCAACAGTGGCAGATGCTGGCTGTTTCTGCTGCAAGAAGACAAACACTTGCTTGGTGATAACTCGTGCTTTAAGCACACATAACGGAAGAGTCGTGACAAGGATAGCGCTTGTTGCAGGAACAGCATGTTTCGAGACTAGGTATGTGCAGAGTCTCAGCAGAAGATTGCAAGCCATAGAACTTCAACCCCCGCTCGGAAGGACCTGACTCCGACACATTTCTGCTAGGCTCGAGATTCGCCAAAAGCGAGAATTGAGTAAAAGAACTAGCAATGATATCATTGAGTATGCGAGTCTTCGAGTCTTCGCCCAAAAGGGATAAGGAATCAAATATGCAAGATAGCTTTATATCTGGCACACAGCTATGGAGGTATGCATGCTTGTGCTTGTGTTCTCTTCAGGGGGTCGACCGTTTTATTCAAGAGCCAAGGTCAACCTCTCTACCATTGACTCAACGAAATCCATGTTCCATTGAATCTGTGGAAGCCGTCTGTTTGGTCGCATCGAACTTGCAGCTCCTTGAAGGCCATCAAAACTCAGAAGAGGAAAGCGGTGCGGCAAGACCCGAGATGAACTCACGCGCGTTCCACGGTCTTCGAAGTTTCACCAGAGGTCTTTCAGAAACCACCTAGTAAAACTTTGGTTGGGACGATCATGATGGTCCTCACACACACAAATTTGGTATTGTTGGTAATTTGTGCCATCCGTTGTTTTCGTTGGTGCTGTTCATGGCTTTCGGGGTTGCTTTGACCAGACCTCACCTAGAAACCCGGCGGCAAGACAGAGTAGATTTAAACAACAGGCGGCCGTCGGCGGCATGCACGTATTTTGAAACAAACACAAAAACATGAGTCTGAACATGATAGGTTTGGAGCCGGTCAGTTGGCCCTTAACTCCACCTTTCTTGTCTTGTGCCCTCGTTTTGTTTGTCTTGTTGCTTCTGTTTGTGTCGAATCGGGGCGAATAACAATTCTCTCTTTCCGACCCGGGCGGTGGCAAGGTGAAAGTTCAAACCTGGCCTCATGATTCCCTTGGAACAGAAGTTGTTCAGACTCCGGATGTGTGCATTGACACTCCCTCACCCCAACCAATGTGTGAGGGGTCCTGGTCAATTCAAAAATGTCCCATCGTTTTCCTTGGGCTTGCCTTTGGACGAAACCAGTGGGTTAGAGGGGGGCTTGGAATCCGATATCTACTAGTCATACCCGCGCGTTTACACTTACTTCACCAATGACGGAGTCCTGCTCAGGCTGTAGATGAGCAAGATGCTTCATAGTGGACAAATTATAGTGACGTCACAAGTGTGTTTGCGACATCACCAAGGATGCAAGTGTCTTTCCTTGCGGTGTCTTATTTCAGGAAGGTGACCTATACTATTCACCCTAATATCGAGGCTTGCAACATTACCTGACAATCGGCCTTAAGGTTAATATATTTCTTCACCGGCTTGTTTTTGGTGGAGCATATGGGAGAAATCTGCCGGATGTGCGTAGACTCCAAAACGACTTCCTGGGTCATTTGTCACCGGCACAGTCCACTTGAGGCGTGTGGATCCGGCATTGGTTTCGGGGGGTGACGGCCTTTTCTAGCCGCGTGGTGTCTTCTTTCACCCAAAAAATACCGTGTTGTTTTTTTTGTTGCAATTCCACCGCGTCAGAATGAGTTTGCTTCGAAAGGGTCCTGCCTTTTTTTGTTGGCTCCACATTGCACTCGGAAGAACAGCGTTTGGTTACTGCCGGAAAAGGCTCGATGTTTAACCGTGCTCTTTTAGGGGAAGCCTATTGACAAGATTGGCTCGCGCGCTCCCGTGTTGGCTCCAATACAGGACGCAGCGTTATTGTTTGCATGGCTCGGAAAACACTCGCAGGCACACCCTCGCATTAAATGCCCGTACCCTCTTGCAGAGCGTAGCCTGAAAGAGCCCTCATTCGCGACCCAACCCAACAGGCTGCGGGAGCTCAACCCGGACATGCTTGCCTGCACTCTCCCTTGCCACGGGATACAAATGCTCATCTCGAATGGCGTTCCAGCCATTTCCCCTTAAGAAGTGCTTTGGGAAGACCAATCCAAACGAACTAAGTCAGAGAGTCTCCTGTTGGTCATTTGCGGTGCTTGTTGGAAGTACTTGACCGCCCTTGAACAAATGCAGAAACACCTTTTTAGGTTAGGTTGCAAGTTGAAGGATACCCAAAAAGGGGGTCCGGGCCCAAAAGGGAATCGGACATCCATTGAGTACCCGACCAAAAAGCACCTTTGATGAATGATGGCCAGCAGCGGCGCGACACGAGTGACACTGCCCTTGGAGCCGCCGCATACCTGGAAAGGAACGCTTTTGCAAAGGCAGTCAGGGAGTTGAGCGAGCAAGTACCAGGGTATTGGCTGTTATAGGTTCTCATTCGGGGCCCTTCCAGTCTTCCAGGTTGGTTTCCTGGGTATTTTAAAGACTCTAGTGGATATCACCAATACTGTCTTGTTCTTTCGGAACTGGTTTCGTTTTGGCGGGTCCCCTATCAAGGGCTTGAAAGGAACCCAGTCCTGAAGCATTGCACCAGCGCATTGTGTGCACAAGCTTGTTTCTTTGTGGATGGTGCCGCATCGCCCGTTGTATTGCTTGGGTGTTGCTGTATTCAAGGTTGTGGTCTCGCATGTCCAGCGTGAAGCGTGTTTTGTGTGACAGAGCGTTGCGTAACGGGACCTCAGCGGGACCTCAGCGGGAAGGGATCCCCACCTCCAAACTCACACGGCTTCACCAGTGTAACATGGCGGTTCCTTTGGTCCAGTGAATCCCAGGCAAGCCACTATGGGCAACCAGCCATTCTTCTGTCAGGGTCCAAAGGGTGGTTCTCTTTGTTGCTTGCTATGCAGGCTGGGGCTCCCTTATGTCAGTTTGGTACTCCGCAGATCAACATGGGAACCCAAGGAGCCATCCAATGTTAGGATCGGAATCTCCTGGGTGGACCCCCTTCTTGGGATCCTTCTGTTAATTTTGCAGGGAATACAGGTGTGGCTCAAATACGAATGATATCTGCCAAAGGATCACTATGAAAATTCGCGCCCGTTTCAGTCTGGTAAACCATGTTCGTACGCTTCCACGTGTTTGCCATCCCAAGGCTACCGATCAGCCCCAGCTCGCTGTCAGGCAAGGTGAGACGGGCGGACCTTCATTTAATTTCACCAGCGACTGAATTGTCCCAAACACACACACACACACACACACGGCAGACTTCCAATTTTTGTTGATTAGACTGAACCCCATTCCAAAAAGGCAACCCGTGGGTTTAAGTCTACCATGGTTTTAGTCATGTCAAGTGTTCTCAACATGTCTTGTGGGAGCAGCTTCCCGTTAACAACTATTGATAATGACTCATTGAAACAACCTCGCCATGTTTGTTGGGTTTCAATCCCCATATATCTTATTACTTTATTGGTTGATAGCAAGCTGTACCTTTTTGGTGGCCCAGAAAGTGTGGGCTTGTTCTGGCCAGTAGACTCAGCAGGTTAGACAAACCATAGCCCCCGCAGAGTTCTCGCTGGCAATTCAATTCTCGTGGACGAACTGGGTTACAGGCCCATTCGTGAGGTATCGGATTCACTCACCAAAATTGGGCCCTGGACTCATCCAAGTGGCTGGCGGATTCTTGTTCCGAACTTTGTTGACTCCCGTTTCTTGGGGAAGGAAGCTTTTTTAACTTGTTGGTTCCATTGGGAGTGCTGGGAATGAACCTGGGGATCCCTAGCAAACCATAAGGGATGGTTCATTGTTTGATTGAGAAACAGCAAGTTAAGAGTGCTCCATTGATTTTGAACCAAGACACTGCTTTCAGTTTGCTCTATGGTACAAGGTATGCATTCCTTTAGGTTTTATATGTTGGATCCCTTGGTTGCCTATGGCAGCCGAATGCCCTGCTTTGTGTTTAGCCAACAACTGGAACAGTCGTTTTCGTGGAACAAAACCTCCAAACGGTTCTGACCAATCCACTCAGGTGTGATTACCTTGGACAACATGTTGCTTGTTGCTGTAAAATTGCATAGGACTCCTCTTGGAGGTATGGGTCCACGTCTAAAGGCAAAAAGACAGCCCTAAGGGTTTCTAACAGACCCATGACCGTGAATTTACAGTTGAGTTTTGAGACCATGACTCATATATGTTTCTGGTGTGCCAACCTGGGGTCATACAACCACACCTCCTTTTGGGCCATATGCTCGCCATATATTTCTGGTGCTTTGGAGCCATAAGGGAAACACACCTGCACTGGAGTTTACCTCTTGCTCTTGGAAAGTGAAGGGACTTTGAAGTGCTTCCCGTCACGGGGCGTTGTTCTCCGGACGAAAGGCAATCCAAGGTAGGCAATCCATGCACATCCAAAATGGGTGCTGAAAGTTAGGCCCCCCTCCAAGTAGTTGGCTGTTGCGGGTTCCCTTGCAAGAACGCAAAAGGGGATTCGATCCATGTTGAGACGAGAGCTCACCTACTTGAACTTGGCAACATCGCATGCAAAGTGAAGAACCAGAACAAGCTAGGATCCGTCAAGCTTGTTCGGGGTCCTCCAAAAGCCAACCGGATTTGGCGATCTGCCCCTAGGCCGACGACAGCTGCCGCGCTTGCACCTGCCATGCACGGCACCGGCAGTGCGCTTGCGGATCGCCGGGCTTTTGGTGTTGCATCGAGTTCCGCACCCGGACAAATAGGTTCCAAACGCCACCGAAAGGAACCCATTCAACTGTTGGAGCCCGTTTAAGTTATCGCCCGAGAGTGGCTTCGGTTTGTCGGGCATAAATTATTGGGGGGCCGGAGTTGCTTTTTGAGAGAGACCCTCACACACTTGTTGTTGGAGTAAGCCAAAACGGTGCTTGTGGTCAGCAAAAACTTGATGCAGATTGGAGTTTCGGGGTCCCCAGGTTCTTGTCCCAGGTGCTTAGTGGCACGATTCTTGTCCAATGCGCAAGTGGGCCCTTTCCTTTGCCCAGTCGTTGCATTTGCTGGTGTTCCTAATGGGTGACCCAAACTCGGGCTCCGAGTGCTTGTCGGCATCTTGTTGTTTTCTTTGTTTCTTAGGTTCCCTCAAACAACAATCCATGAAAATGCAGGGGGTCCTTTTTGTTCAATGGCCGCTGGGAAAACAAGAGACGGTTCACGAATTCACAACATGGCCTTCTATGAGAAAGTGTGTGTGTGTGTGAGTGTGTGTGTGTGCTCTGGTTTTGCAAGAAGGGGAGATCAAGTTCAATTGGACCTGACGCCACTGGTGTGATGAATTGATTTGTCCTCTCTGCCTTGTGCAGTAGCTGACTCACAGATGTTAGGATTTCGCCAAATTCTTCCCAACTTAGCAAAGCCTTGTCCAAGGTGTGAGTTGATTGGCTGAATGGCACCAAAGTGCCTGAAACAAGTGCTAGACTGCTTGATAAGAGGACGGGACAAACGACAAACATTGGCAGAGGCTTGTGTTTGGATGTTCACAATACTTGGGGTAAGTAGGTTTGCCCTAACTGTTTTAGAGGGACCACAAAAAAGGTTGGCAGACTTCTCACTTGCTAAGCTTGACAATGTGCGGGGTCAGTTGCTCACTCGGGCCCTACTTGACGCTTTAAGTGGTTCACTACCTGGCTTAATTGGGATGTAATAAGGCCAATATAAACCTTCACAACTAGAGGTGTAGAACTGAAGTGGGTTTTTTGGGTGCTGCTCACTTGTTGCGGCTGCCAGGTACAGCCAAAGGCAGAGCGGGCGATCACGGTGGCAACCCCTGCTTCCTTCGAAGAGGAGGCGGAGTTTGGTTCGCGGCTGTGGGCTGTGAACTGTGAATGGGTCAACATAACTCGGTCGTTGGGGGAACACCGGGTCTGCTATGATGAAGATAATCCTCAGGTTACTTCCTGTTCCTGAGTTAGAGTAAGTTTCCCAGATGGGTGTGGTTCCTTTTTTTTTGAGTTGGCACCCCAAAATGGCGGGGGGGGGGGGGGAGGAAGAAAATTCAGAGGGACATCATCCGAGTTGCGGGCTTACCCACTTGGAGACGGCACCAGCTTTCGCCTTTTGGAGTCTTTAGAAACATCCTCTTTGTGGCCAACAATACGCCGTCCGGATACTTTCCTTGTAGGCGAAAACGAGATGGAGAAAGCAATTGCATGTGGCCGAGTTTTGCATCTGCCAAAAGACTCCTCGAGGACAGGCATATTCCACCAGGTACCATTTTGGGGGAGGCCCTTGGTTCAGTGTCTAAACATTTCTAGGGGTAGCTTCCCCATTCTTTCCAGGGATCCTTCTTTCTGGACCACCAAAAACCCTGGGGAAATGGCTGTTTTTTGAAAAGAATGATGGCTGAAAAGAATGGGGAATCAACCGCTGGAACATGTTTTAAATTAAAAGCTGGATCCAACTAGCTGACACAGTGGTGAGTGGTGTCCAACCATCACTGGGGTGTCACATACAAACTGGAAGCTGGCCATGAGCGTAGGTTCTTATACAAATCGGCTGATATGCTTATGGTTCTGTTCTTGTTGGAGAGAAACCTCTTTTGGTTGGTGTTTAAGGGAAACCACAAGGAGCACGGCAATGTTGGGTCCCCTAATGTTGAGACACCCCTTGATGCGTAAAGAGCTGTTCTTTGTTTAAGTCCCTGACTTCCATAAGAGTTATGCTTGTTCCTACCCTAAACCCGTGGCTAAATGCACACTTCAGGCCCCAGAAGGCTTCCCTCAAGCATGGGCCATGAGCCTAAACAAGTGCAACGAGTGGTTTAGGAGGAGATGTCCAAAGCTAAATATATGCTGCCAGTGGTACCACCGCCAGATCTCACTCGGTGTGGTGCATTGGTCAAAGCAACAAAACCGACATCTTCTCCGAAAGTTTGCGAATACGGGCTGAAGAAATATGCAGGCTAATCTGAGCATATGTTATTTCTGTGTGCCCAGATGCGGGCGAAGGAGTCAACTATTGATGTTGGACCTCCTTTAAATAAATGATTGGGTCCTCTATTATATAGATATGCTTTGCCGGAAAAAACAACATTGCCGGAAACAAACTAAGGGCAAAACACAACTGGCAAAAAAACAACAACAACAAAAACGGGCAGCATCAAACGGGCAAGCAAATCCGGGCAATGAATGAAAATCCTTTTTCAAGTGGTTGCCAAACCATCAAATCTACTATAACTTCTTTTCAAAGAAGCAAGGGTCACACAAAGGGGGTTGCCCACAAGAGGCCCTGATCCTCTTTAGTATGACTGTGTTAGGGTCCTCTTTTATAGACATGTTTTCGCAGGCAAAATTATGGCTTTGCCTAGCTAAATTCGAATTGGCAATACCAAATTAAGTACTGGGAATCTGAGACTCAGTCTTGGCAATACTAGACTTGAAATTGGCAATACCAAGGTAAGTACTAGGAATCTGAGAGCAAGTCTTGGCAATGCGAATTTAGATCTGGCAGTACTAAAGCAAGTACTAACAAGTCCAAGCAAGTCCCACCCAGACCCCCAGGATTTTCACTAAAGAGGATCCCGCTGACTGGTTCCACTTTTCAGGGGGGGAGGGTAACATCAAGGAGGGTTCACCATGAGCGTGTTTGTTGCCGCTTGTTTTGAGTGTTCTTCGTGGATCCCCCGATTGGCGAGACGGCAAAGTTTTAAACGCCAGGCACATTTGAAGTCCATGGGCCACTTCCAAGACGCCTTCAAGCTAGGCCGCGGCGGAAAGAAAGAGGAGCCCAACGAAAGGGGTCCACGTTGTGCTTTTGGAGGGCGACTCAAGACTTGTTGGTTTTTTTGGTTCTCATTTCTCTCGGACACCCCCAAAGAGCTATACTTTTTTTCGTGGGGATGGAAGCTTAACAAGCTCCTTCTTGCCAGTTTTTGAGAAGATTTTCTTCTCAGGCTCACTGCCTGAGTTCCTGGGCGTCATGCTTTTTTGCGAAGACCATGTTCGCGGCAGACAAAAAGTTTGGGAAATCTGGAGAGCCCTGTTCCTTTCGTCGCAAATTTCGCGAACGCAATAAAGGCCTGGATTTGCTGGTCGAGCGGCATATGCCCCGCCAGGCAGTTCATTCCACAGAAGCTCTCGGGACCACGAAACGACACCGGTAGGGACATGCTTGGGATCCCAATCCTGCCAGGGACGCAGGGCGTTTCTTGTAAAGCCGCAACCAAGAATCTGCAGAATATTTTATCGAGCTCTGGGGATAAAAGGAGCTCAATGATAAAGATAACCTGGTGACCCTGATTTCTGCTTTGTGGCTGTTGTGCGTTATATCAATTTGCTTAAGCCAATGCTGACACGGCTTGGCTTTTTCTTGTGCCAAGGGCCAAGTTAGAGTTTGGCCTCGCCGAAGGTTCCTGTGTCTGTAGTTCACCCAACGGAAACGCAGGTTCCAAGCTCCAAAAAGGGCCCCGGGATTTGAGAGGCGACGTTTGCATCTTTTGACCCAATTTGCGACTCAAAAGGTGTTCACTCTTGAACGGGGTTGTGGGATCAAGGGGTTTATCCCCACTTCTGTGATACAAGAGAATCTCCCCCTTTCTGGAAGTTGGTCTTTGCGAAGCCTTTTTGTTGTATCACAGAAGTGGATTCCATTTCCCACAGCCCTGCTCTTGAGCCATGGCTTGCTTTTGTGGGCAGAAATCACACGGTCCCGTTTCATTGGGGTGAGTGTAAGTTGCCAACAGGGTTTTAGGTGCCTGCCCGGACGAGCAACGTGTGCTCCCAGTTTCGGGGAGCGCTTGAAAAACCATTTAAACACTGTTCCCCTGTTTTTGGAACACACGCAGCTTTCCGGTTCCCTGGCACGGCAGGGCTAACGAGCAACGCGCGCACACACAGGCCCATACGAGCAACGCGCGCACACACACACAGGCCCATGCTGCTTTCGAGCACCCATAGCGGGTGTGCAATTCACGGGTAGAAAAGACAACGTGGGCCTCTTTATGAGATATTTGCTCGGTGCAAAGTCACTGTGTTTGTTGAAGCTCAAAACCACAGGAAGCGAACCCACAGGATAGTCTTCCAAAGTCCTTCTTGGGGGCTCGGCACAACCTTACGTGAATCTGCAAATCTGTGGACCTGATTCCATTTGAGAGTTCCACTTGAGAGTATCTCTTGTCGCGCGGGCTAGCTCGCATTTGCTGCAATGTAGCTTTTTCAACATACGAAATGTGGACGAACGAGATGCAGCTCAGAACAAAATGCAGAAGGCGGCGACCCCCCCATTCAGAAATGTACAGGCCTTTTGTTCCACGTGCTTTAGGCCACTTCGCCCAAGCCATTCTTCGAAGCGGAAAATGTACAACAGGGGTGGGGGCGGGGGCCCCCTGCCAATAGGTAGGTGTCCCGGACGTATGTTATATTATATATATATATGTTCTTAGAACACCTGGCAGGCAGATACCTCCAGGGCATAGGCATTTGGAGTACCCGCAGATTGCCATGGAACCCAAACAGGGCGTTTTTTTCCAGAGGTCTGAAGAGATTTCAACGAAGGGCTTTTTGGTTTCCAAGCGTACCCTTGTTTGGACACCAACGGGAGACCCACCCTTTGTGGGTTACCCGTTGTGAGGTGAGTTCTTGGGCTCCGGCAGCATGTCGGTGGTCCGGAGGCGCGACGTGCATGTGTGTGAGTGTGTGCGGGTTGTGTGCTGCGTGTGTGTGTGTGTGGGGTTGTGTTTTTGTGTGTGTGTGTGTTGGGTGTTTTGTTTGTTTGTGTGTTTGGGTGCTTTGTTTGTTTGCGTGTTTGGTTCCTTGTGTTTGTGTGACTGCTTGCTTGCTTGCTTGCTTGCTTGCTTGCTTGCTTGGTTGGTTGCCTTGCTTGCTTGCTTGGTTGGTTGCCTTGCTTGCTTGCTTGCTTGGCTTGGCTTGGCTTGGCTTGGCTTGGCTTTGCTTTGCTTTGCTTTGCTTTGCGTTGCGTTGCGTTGCGTTGCGTTGCGTTGCGTTGCTTGCTTGCTTGCTTGCTTGTGTGTTGTGTAGCTGTTGTTTGCTTATTTGCTTGCTTGCTTGCTTGCTTGTGTGTTATGTAGTTGTTGTTTGCTTATTTGCTTATTTGCTTGTTTGCTTGTTTGCTTGTTTGCTTGCTTGCTTGCTTGCTTGCTTGCTTGCTTGCTTGCTTGCTTGCTTGCTTGCTTGCTTGCTTGCTTGCTTGCTTGCTTGCTTGTGTGTTAGTTGTTGTTTGCTTGTTTGCTTGTTTGCTTGTTTGCTTGTTTGCTTGTTTGCTTGCTTGCTTGCTTGCTTGCTTGCTTGCTTGCTTGCTTGCTTGCTTGCTTGCTTGTGTTTGCGCTTGTTTGCGCGTGTGTTTATGTTTGTTTGTTTGTCTGTCTGTCTGTCTGTCTGTTTGTCTGTCTGTTTGTTTATTTGTCCGTGTTTTTGTTTTGCTGGCTTTTGTTTGTCACTGCTTGCTTGGCATTGGTTTGTTGGTTGATTGGTTGGTTGGTTGATTGTTTGTTGGGTTGATGTTGGTATGGTTTACTTATGTGTTTGTCGGGTTGTGTGTTGTCGGATTGTTTGCGTGTGTTGTTGTGTTTGCTTTGTGCTGTGTGTGTGAGTGTTTCAATGTTGTGTGTGTGTGTTTTTGTTGGTTGTGGTGTTGTTTCTTTGTTTGTGGTGGTGTCTTGTGTGTCCTGATTTGTTTCTTGCTTTGGCTTGTTTGATTGACTGTTTGGTTGGCTTGGCTTAGATTTGTATAGTTTTGGTTTGGTTTCTGGTTGGTTGGTGGGTGGGTTGGTGGGTGGGGTCGGTGGGTTGGTCGGTGGGTCGGTGGGTTGGCGAGTCTGTGAGTTGGTGTGTTGGTGGGTTCGTGGGTTGGTGTGCTGGTGTGTTGGTGGGTTGGTGGGTTGGCGGGTTGTGGCTGGCGGGTTGGTGGGTTGGTGGGTTGCCAGGTTGCCAGGTTGCCAGGTGGGTGGGTGGGTGGGTGGGTTGTTCGTTGGTGCGTTCGTTGGTTCAGTTGCTTCTTCGTTGGTTGGCTGGTTCGGTTTGGATGGGATCGGTTTGGATTATTTGGTGACGGTGCTTAACTTTGTTTGATACTCTTTGCGGATTTGTGTGTTTCTGTGTGTGCGCATTTTGGTTGTTTTGGCTTGATTGTTAATCCAATTGTTTGCTTCTGGCTTATGTACTTGTTTGTTTGTTTGTCATATGGCGCATCCTCAACAAGCTTCCACAAGGTCTTGCCCTCAGAAAGGACACCCCATATTTATTGTTCAAAAACTGTTTGGTGAACTCGTCCTCGTTGGTGGGTTCCCTACTATTCCCAGAGAGCCAACGGTGCCTTGATCCTCTTTCTTTCGAGGTGCCATTTAAGATCAGGTACCAAACAGACGCTGTTTTCCGATGGACATTCGCTGCAGTCTGGGTTACAAGGGGTATTCATCAGGGTTGGGCAATAATTGGAGTCAAGCCTGGCCCGCGTACAAAGAACAAAACACAATGTTTGTCCAAAGGGGAGGCTGTTGTTTGGCCCTGCACCTTTTTTGCGGGCCCATCCAAAAACTTATCTGGACCCCAACAACAACGGGTCAGGGAAGGATCGAACGGGCCCCCTAAAGAGCTTGACACAGCTCATTCGCCAGGTGTGTGCGCCGGTGTGACGGCCAGATCTTCGCTGCCCGCCCGGCTTTCTTTTGGGCGACCCGTGGAATGGGAGTTTCTCAAAATGGTCCTCCCCTAGCGGACGGGCGGGAGGGCAGGCAGGCAAGCCAGCAAACAAGCAACCGAGCAAGCAAGCAAGCAAGCAAGCAAGCGTCCGAGCGAGAAGGCAAGCAAGCAAACAAACAAAATCAATCAAAAAACACAAAACAACAAACACACAGACAGACAGACAGACAGACAGACAGACAGACAAACAGACAGACAGACAAACAGACAAACAGACAAACAGACAAACAGACAAACCTACATACAAGCAAACAAAGAAACAAACAAAGCAAGAAACACAATATAACAATCACACACTAAGAGACAAAGCAAGCAAACAAGCTAGCAACAAACAATTACAGGGTGTTCTGTTTGTCCGCATTGCCTTTGGGCGAGTATGCGCCCGCTTCTGCTGCCTCGTGTTTTGCTCGTAAGATCCAGCTTAGCGATATATGAAATTGTTCGGACATTCCTGGCCGCCATACAATTAATACAATGAGCCAAATCCTGAAAACCGGGTAGACGAAGGGACACTTTACATCTGTATTGTGGGTCGTCTTCTTTTTTTTGCAAGGGTTGCCTCTTCTTCTTCCTGGTTAGGGTATTCACAAAAGGGTACAAACACACGAGTCAAGTGAGGTGCGCCCAACTTCCTTGATGGCCACTTTAGGATGGGGTTGTGCTTCTCGGTTTAGTGGGAGTAATTGGAACACCTACATAATCCGTTATAACAGTTGTCGTCGAACCCAACGTCGATGGGTTTCAGTCACTGCTCAAGTGAGTGTGTGTGTGTGTGTGCGCGTCTGCGTTTTTGGGAAAACCCATCTTGGTTAGTTGTCCAAGGGAAACCAATCCAGTTGGTGGGTCCATTTCCTCATTCTGAAACAACCCCAAGTGAGGTGTGAGCAATTGGGTGTCAAATAATAGCATCCCTCGTCTCGAAAAAATGTACCCTATCAATCAATGCTACTACACTAGAACTAGCCCAAAACAAGCCAAACTAGCCCTGTAACGATGTTTCGGACTTGATTAGAAAACACCCCCTTTGCTACGTTTCCGAAGCAAAAGAAGAGTTGACCCAAGGAAAGCAGTGACACGCCCTGGGGCGCAAATGTACTCTTGAACATCGGGTGTATTTTGGAAATGACTCATTGGCACGGAAATGTCGAGCTTCAGAGAGCCGAAGTGTTGCATAGGCGTCCGCAGCCAGGTGAAGTGTGTCACTGCGGTGGACGAGGAGGTCAGGCAGTTTACTCGGGACGAGCGACTCGGCGATTGCCAGGTTCCAGCTGTGTATTTTTTAGTCGAGGGCCCAAAAAACTGACCTTTCAGGTCTTTTGGGCAGAGGAGCTTAGGGTGGAGTCTTGTTTTATTCCGCCCTTTTGTTTGACAGCAAACCGACACGCTTGTAGATAGGTTGACAGTCATCTTTGCTTTTGCTGCCCCTGCCAGTCCCCATTTGTTTGAAACGACATCACGCAAACAAAGAAGCCGTGGACACTCCCACCAAGAAAGCCATCGTCCTTGAATCAGGTATGTCCGCATTGAGACTTGCCATTCTTCCATTGCCCCCTGCAGCATCTGAGCATCGTGCTTCAGGCACTCACGTGCAGTTTCCCAGCAGGTTGTAGTTGTTTTGTTGACAACAGCAAAGGTGTCGTCTCCAATTCCAGGCTTGGGTTCCGGGAAGGCTCCAGGGCTGGGGATACTCCTTGGGATACGTTTTCCGAGTTTCCTTGTCCTATGTGCCCAAGCTAGGCCGCTAGGCTTGTGCCAGATATCCAAGGGCTTGTTTGTGCGTGTGCGTGTGTGTCTTGCTGTTTGTGTCAGGGTGTTTGGGAAAAGGATATACGTACTGGGTCCTTGTTGTTACACGCCCCGCAAGACATGAACTCGTGCCGCAAGCGGTGTGCCAGTGGGGAAAGCTAGTAAGAGTCATGATCATGCTGTCATTTAGATGTATGGCATGAGGCCACTTTGACACAAATCGCATGGGCACACTCGCTTTACTTAGATGTTGCTGACGACGCACGTGCTACCCCAGCCCCCACCACGCGCAAAGCCAAGGGTCTGGTGTGCCATGGGGGATCGGAAGGGGCGCTGTTGATGTTGAGGCCCACTCCCGTCACAAAACACAATTGCGCACTGCCTCTGGCCAAGATACTGAGAAGGTTAAGCCCGCTGACACATGGGAGTTTGATTTCTTGTGTCCTTCAGTTGTGTTCCAGTAAGATTTGACTTGGTAGAAGTTACAGGCTGTGAAGTTGCTCGTCGGGAAGCGCAGTGCGCACTGCCTCTACTAACACACGGGAGTTGGGTTCGTTGTGCTGTGCTTTTCTCTCACGCCAATGAAGGATTGTGTCCGAACAGGCCGTGTTGGCCAGGGCCAGTCTGCGGGCCGCGTTCGCACCTCGCTTTGACCTCGTTAATACCTCGTTTAGACCTCGTTAAATTGGCTGGCTAGAGCACCTTTTTCGCAAGGTTTCGTGGCAGGTGCAGCACTTTCGCAAGGTCAGGCGCGGATTTCGTGACAGGTGCAGTGCTTCAAGAAGGCCAGGCGCAGGTGTTGTGGCAGGCGCGGAGCTTTCAGAAGCAGATTTCGTGACAGGGGCGCAACAGAGAAAGAGAAAGGGAAAAGGAAAAACACAGCGCAAGTGAAAGAGAAAAGAAAGAGTAAGGGAAAGAGGAAGAAGCAAGAACGAAGCATGGGGGAAGCACTTGTTGAGCGCATTGGTTGTCAGCCGTTTATTGGAAGATTGTTGCTCATAACGCATAGGGGTGGCTATGAACAAAGAACTTAGCAACGCTACAGCGCATGTTGGTGAAGTGTGGTGTGCCAAGCGTTTGATTTCTAAGCTCGCAAACCAGCCCGGCCGCTGGAGGTACACCTGGGTGACGTTGGTTGAAGTGCGTGTGAAACGCGGCATTGGTTGTCAGCAGTTTGTTGGAAGGTTGGTGCTTATAACGCATAGGGGTGGCTATGAACAAAAAACTTGGCAACATCGCAGCGCATCTTGGTGAAGTGTGGTGTGCCAAGCGTTTGTGGACACGATTCGGGATTTGTTTAAGCTCGCAGCCTGGCTCAGACAAGCAGAGGCTAATGTGAAAACACACAGGCGCGAACGCGCCGGACAAGGCAGTTGCAACATAAACCCGCATTTTCCATGTGGTGTGCCAGTAGGATTTGCTTGTGGGGTGAGATCCTGTTGTTGCGGGGTGAGCGATGTGCCAAGCGGTGGGGTGAGATGTGGTTCCGTGGGGTGTGAAACCGCGCTGGGTCGTAGGTCAGAATGTCTCGACTGCCAAAAGTGGATCATTGGGCAGCAGCCAAGATGGCTGAAGCACCAGACAGAGCACAGTCACCATGTCCTGTTCATTTGGGTGTGCCTGTGTTAAGAGCATGTCCCTTTTTCGGAATTTCGGGAGTGTTCTAAATTCAACTAAGAGGAAGCCACCCTTTTTGGGTTGCCACCTACAAATCAGACAGACCCAGTTGTTGTTCATGCGGTTTTGAAGCAGACACAACAACGCCCAAGGTATGAGCTGGTGCGCGCTTTGCGGCCCTGAGCCCAGATTATGCCGCTCACATCTTTTGAGGGTCATGTGAATCGCGAGGATCAAGACCATAGCCACTTGGGCGGTTGTTCTACATATTGTGCAGCAGTCTAGTGTCCATTTGGGAGAGATGTCTATAGGAAAAGCGTTTGTTTTGGCCATGCCTCTGGTTCCATCGCCGCCAAGCCGCATATCTGCGTATATACCCTTTATGCAGCTGCTATATAGTTGCTGTATGTGCACACCTCTTGGGGCCAGTGGTCGGTGAAAGCCAAATTTTAGATAGGTTGTAACTTCGCAGTGGTGAATCCTGGTGCTTTCTCGCGAAGCTTCAAGCAGGTCTCCTTGCCCAGACACTGCGGCCCAAGCCCTTGGCTTCACCCAAAAAGATATGAGCTTGAGGCTACGATGGTAACCGAGCAACACGGCAATTTATGGGTCTTACCAACAGCCAGAGACCTCTTTTGATATATTCATGGTCAGCCTCAATGTTGCTTTAAACATCATCAACAAGACCCGCGTCTTTGATATGTATCACGCCCAGGTTTGAAGCACGTATGCGCACTGGCTTCTTGATGAATCGAAGTTGTGTGCTCCAAGACGCGGAAAGACCGTCCGGGAGAAAAAATATATATGTCCAAGCCGAGCTTTGCTACCTGACGGTTTTTCCACTCGCAACCATGGTTAGTCAAAGTCCCAAAAGCTTTACCTTTCACGGGTCCTAGCTTTTCATTATGACTGAACTGGCAATCCCCTCGCCAACCTTCCAAGGTTCTCAGCGTGATGTGAAGTTACCTGTTGGCCTGGACCCATGATAAGCTTCCTCGTGATATTGGGGACCTGACAAAAGGGACCGTTCCCTTCTTGGTTTCCCTTTCAAATACCGAATTCCCTGAGGCTGCCCTTCGGAACACCAAAAAGGAAATCCTGAAGAGAAGACGTCGCCAGTCGTTTCGGCCATCCGGCTGGTTGGGCCCTGGATCTGAGGCATCCGGCGATCATTACCTTTCGGGCCTGGTTTGAAGGCAGCGGGCAGGGGCTGGAACATCTTGGGAGCTCACAGCTGTTGTTCGCGGACTTGATCCTACCAGCTTGGTCATGGCTCTCTAAGGAACAATTCTGCCAGGGCCTAGTCAGGACAAGCATGACTTCTTTGCTATGTGCGTTTCAAGCGCGGCTGCTTCAATCCGGGACAGGTGTGACTTCCCTGCTGTCATGTGCATGCGGTGAATACAGTTGGCCATTTAAGAGTCCTTGAAGATCAACACAGCTGTTGCCACCTCGCTTTTGCGCGTCTCCTGCTGCATTGGTGATTTGCATTTACACCAAGTTTATTTGTGCCTGAAAAATGTGATAAGAGCCCGGATGTGTCCGGGTCATCGAATTTATTGTGAGGCGCAGGCCAATCTCAGCCAATTTGCCTGTGTGCAGCCGGTGTGCAGCCGGGAAAGACCGTGCTTTCTGCCGCCCAATGCACGCATGTTGCTCACACTTGTCAAATCAATGCATTCTGTTTGAGATCAAAAGTTTAGGCCATGCATTCACACATGGGATGTGCGCCACCTGCTCTTTCAGAAGCACATGCCTTCCTATGGCGGTTTATCCGGCCCAACGATCCATTTCCTAAGAGCGGGACGAGGGTTTGGTAGACCCAAAGTCGTGGCCGCCAATCCAGTGATTCCATGGTTGCCGTTTGTAGGCAAGCAAGGGAACCACCCTGTAAAGATAAGGAGAATGGCAAAGTACCTGCTGTGCCAGACACGTGCCGTCCTGCTTTCTAAGCTTACCAACATGCCAGGAGTGCTTTTACTTTTTAGGGTGCACTTTTGGGGTGTGGTTTTAACTGGACAGCAGCGGAAATCTCCCAATTGGCTGTTCTCTATGTTGACACGTGGCCATGTGGATTGGTTCTAAAATATGCAGACTCACATGGAGCCTCAGCACGCATCGTGGCGGAGGCTCCTTTTTACGGACCCCCTTTTTGAGTTCTCTGTACGCTTTGGAGTATAGTCCAGTGGGTTGGGGCAAGATTGTCGAATCCCTCGCTGGGTCCTTTTGAGCGGGATCAAACGCATGGGTTCTGCATGTCTCGCTGTTTGGTTCGCTGCTGTACCCTCGCAATAGTTTCTGTGAAGAAGAATGTGTTGTGTTTCAGATGTGAAGCGGACCTCTCAAAATGCAACGTTGGGTTTTAACCACGATCCAACACGGGGGATTTTCCGATTTCAGCCGAATCCCTCCCACTCAAAGCAAGTAAAAGGTTCATGAAGCAAGTAAAAGGTCCATGAATAAAGGACCGGCGCAGCGTTCGTTTTTGGCCTGATGCTCGAACAACTACAACTGAAGTACTCTTCCCCAAAACACACATGGCCTCCTTCTTGTTAAAGCTACAGTTGGACCAGCGAGTGCAACCCCTTTTCAGACAACCTATGGGCATGTTCATATCACCAGCTTGCGGCCTTCGGCGCGAGGCCCGGTGTCCGCGTGGATCGTCATGGACCTTTGCAGCGGTGGATCGCTGGAGTCCTTTGTACGCCGTGAGGCTCCGAGCCGGAAAACGTCGCAGTTCAGAAAGCTCAAGTGCGAGGGAGAACAACAGTTTTTCGGGGGGTGGAGTTCCCTTTAACGTCAAGTACCAACCCAAAAAGGCTGTTGTTTTTTGTCGTGTTTTTTTGCTGTTGGTGGGCTTTCCCCAGTAAGCAGTAACTCAAAGCTACACTTTTTGTGTTTTCTCCGGGCACCGGAGTAATGAAACCGCGAATCTCAGAGGATTCCACGGCGTGTCCTTGGGTTCGAGAGCTGATGGTCAAATCCCAAACAGGCACCCGTTCGGGTGAATTGCAGTCCGAAACAACTGCCACAGATTAAGAGACTGGGATACCCACTGAATTCATTTCATATTTTGAGGTTTACTCTTTCTGGACCACAGCCAAGCCTAATTATGGTTGGGGGCAAAAGATGAGGCTTGGAGGCATCATCAACCAGCTCACGTTGTCCCACCCATGTCTATGGTGACAACCTACTTGGTAGGTAGTTTGAGCATGAAGCCGATGTCCGTGGTAGTCTGCAGGAATAGCTGTTTGCATGTGCAGCATGGATGTGCTTTAGTCTTCAAAACATATTGCTGACAATGCATTCTGGACGAAAGGGTCTCACGGTATGGAATTATTTTTCTTGACCCTTAAGAAAGCCTTGCTTCGGCCTTATTCAGGAGTAGCCCCTCGCATAGCCTCCGCTGAATTCCATGAACTACTTCAATGTTGAAGCTACTTCATACATAGCTTGATGTTTTTTCTTTCTTCGGTTGACAACGGGGGTTGACGAGCGAATCCCTGGTTGCAACCTGCTAAGTAGGATGGGTTTTCAAGCATGACCCCCTCAGGGACGCTTCCCAACTCAACCCGCTATTGTTGGTGCATTGACTCAGACCCTTTTCAGCCTTTATTCGCGAAGAAGATCTGCCATTGTCATGTTTGCAAGTCTGAGTTCTTTGGTTCTCTTGGGCGTTGCTGAGTTGTCAAGAAAGTGGAGTGCGCCGCAGTTGGGAAGTATCGCTTCGGCTCGCTTTGACTTAATGAGGGGCCTTTAAAAGACCTTGGGTAGGATGAATATCCAAAAGTGAGAGGCGCCACTTTTCTGATCCTCGGCTTGTTGTGTTTGTTTTCGCCAGGGCGCGATGCGAGAGTGGCAGGCGGGGCTTAAAGTGTGCAAAGTGGACTCTTTTTAGATGACCACCCCGCGTCGGGCAAGTGCTTCACATCCCAGGAAAACAAACCCTTGGCAAAGGAAAATCAAGCACCGAACAGATAATTATGCATCCGAATAGCGTCATTCTCGTCAACGCCCCTTCCGACTTAATTCACATTTGATTCTCCACAAGTTACCAACATGCTTAGGAAACTTCGCTGGGGGCATCACTTAGTGTGGGGTGATTGAGAAGGCATGGGAACCGAAGGTTTCAGGCCGTTTGGTTGGGACAAGGCTCGTCCTGGGAACGGGACAATTTATGGATTAGTTTCCTTCAGTACATTCAATCTGTGACTTTCCTTTGGAGAATTCCTTCTTCACTGGAGACGGGGTCAAATTCATCGTGAGGCAGATTGAAATGCATCACACGTACATTGATTACAATAAGGGATCGTGTAAAATCAACAACCTTGCACGATACCCCTGAGAATGATGAAACTGAAACGATAGGGTGGACAATTATATAGACCTTGGCTCAGACTCTTTACAGAACCTCTCATACATGGCTGGTTCGTGTGGCTTTCCCTTGGGCACAAGCTTCGCAAGGGACATCGGGCACACTAAAGTCCCAAAATCGTCTCCAGTACACTCTTATGTTCGGATTAACAATTCCCTTCCAGATTTCCTCAGAGGCAGTTCCTCTTTCTGGAGAGACATGATCCCTTGTGGGTGGCGATCCATTTGAGTCGAATGGTACTTGAGAGTTTTATGATCCAAAGCAAGCATGACGTTGTTACATTGTTGCCAAACACAAGCTGACCTTGTGGGTTCCCATGTTTGGTATGTGTAATTCCGAGCTGGGAAAAGATGGTCTAGCAAATTCCAAACGCTCGGGGAATTCCCCCCCCCCCCCAAGGGCAAAGGCCGATGCTCGCCTAAAAGCCGTGCCCCCAAGCAGGGGTCGCAAAGTCCCCTCGTAGGCCATGAAGGAGAAGCTGGATGGCGGGTTTGAACATCGGGTTTTTGCATGTATCTTATTAGCTAAGAGGCACCTTCGAGCGGCACAGGTTGGGTTTCCTGCGTCGCCTTTCCCAAAAGGTTCTGCTCATGCCAGGGCCCGCCCGAGTCAACTTTACCCAGTCCATTTCAAGCCATGGAAGTTGTCAAGGATAGAAATACTTCGTTCCTCTTGGCTGCGTGAATTTTGGAAGACCTCCTCTAAAGCAGGGACTTTCGAATGGACCAACAGCTGGAACCAATCCTTAATCCTCATGCCGGATGGTGGGGTTGGTTCAACCCCACTTCTGGGATAATCTTGACCCCAATTTAATCAGGGTGTCCCGTGGGGAATCATCACTTTTGGAGGGGAACAGCCCCATGTTGAACAAACAGGGGGTGATTAATATGGGGTCAACACTACTCATTTTTGTTGCAGTTGCTTTTTGCTTTTTGTTGGGGGGGAGTTTCGGCCACATCCAAAATGTTCTACCAGCTTGCAGTTGCTGCTTAAGATCAACTCCTCGTAGATGGCGGGTTTGTTGAAGGACTTATTGCCTTTGGTGCATTTGCTTGGATGTTAGGACTTTAACTTCTTGCCAACTACCGGGATTTCCGTATCAAACCACTAAAAGTTAGTCACTTTTAGCAGGGGAGCAGAGTTCGCAACTCCTCGTAGCTGCTCCTTCCCCCCTGGTGGCTTTTTGGCTTTTCAGGTGCAGGACTTGGGCTTTCAGCTCATCCGGGGTGTGGATTATCTGCACCACAAGCGGGCTGGGCGGCTCAGAGTCGTGGACGACTGTGGGACGGCGCAGCTGCGCGTCGACAGCCGCAAATTGGTGGGATGCTCCTTGTTTTCGATGCCCCCGGGGTTATTGTATAAGGTACTACATACCGAATGTCTGAAACTTTGGGGCATGTTGGCACGTCCCTGCTGAATTCGCCTACAGTTGGAAGCCAGGTAGTTTTTGGGGGAGGGGGACCATCAAGTTTAACAGCGTGGAAGGGGAACCGACTTCCAAACACAAGCACACAACATCGGAAAGGGAGAAAGGCTGAGAAAGTGAAGCTGCATACCAGAGCATCGCGCGGGTCGTGTCTTTAGGATTGTTCGCAAATGCTGACTCGTGCATTTCCCCGTTCTCATCAAGAGACACAGCTACGTGCCCCTACGTGCTCCCAGGGGATATAGGTCATAAGCATCTACCGCAAAGATGTACCCAAAATTTGCCCCAAAAAATGAAATGCCCCCTACATACCGATGATGCGCAGGTGGGTATTCCGGCTTCAAGGGAATCATTTGGCTAGCGACCTCAGAAAGGCGTCGGCTTGACCCCGGGGTCGCTAAGGTTGCTTTCACGAGGCATTTCCCTTCAAAACTCATATGAGATTGGAATGAGTGTGCCAGTATGACTTGCAATTGATTGACAGTTGGACCGTTTCATGCACTATGCTGTGTGGCTTGGAACAGCACGGAATCCTAATTTGCTCATCGGCACATGTTTACCCTTTCTGTTTGGTCGATCCCTCGCTGGAATTTGTCAACCCCAAGAAGACCATAATCATCTGATCCCCTTTACTCACCGTTGGGTCACGGGTTGCATCTCAAAAATGGGCACCGTGTTGGTTGGTGATGTGTTATATTTCACCCAGACCCTGGAGATGCTTCTTTTGAGTGCTCTTCCCAAAGACAAAAAAAAGCTCTGGGGTAGATATATTGTATGGGGTTGCCCCTAAATTTAGGAATCACAAGAAGAAAAAAAGGAAACACCCCCAAAAAGGGTACCCTCAAACACGCACGCACCACAGTGGATGGACGAAGCACTATGAATACTGGTTGACTTTGGTGCATGTTGCCCAGGGATGTTAGGACTTTAAGTTGTTACTAACTAGTGGGCTTTCCGTATCAAACCACCAAAAGTTAGTCACTGTTAGCAGGGGAGCAGACAGCAACCGAGTTGACATAGCACCAGCTGCCCGGCCTTGAGTTTGGCAATCCCCAGCCGGTCTCGAGGTGGTGCATCGCGACCTAAAGCCCGCCAACCTGCTCTTGCACAGGCGGAGTTAATTCGGGGGAGGGGGGAGGTGGCTGTTTCCAATGATTAGGTTGTGGGATACTACTGTGCAGGCGAGAATGTCATGTAGCCCCTTATATGTTTTTTGTTTCACCAAACATGGGCGAAGTAACTGTGCATATCCAGCCAAGAAGTGCCCCAGACTGGTGCTTTCTGTGGATTTTGCAAGCCAACTGGAGACTGTAAGCCATGGAAAGCCAGGATGCTGGCCAAATGCCTCGGGCTTGAAGAATGGGAGGAGAGGTTCAGCGCGCAACTGTTTTCATCACAACAGAAATCTGTGGGTCTCAATTTGCGTGGACTTGCGGATTTTACGATTAAAACAAATATTTTGAGAGTGGCACTTTACCAGCAACAAATGCAGACCGGTTTGGATGTGGCTGGGCATTGCGCACCCGACCTGGGAGTGCGGGGTCCAGGAAGGTCTGGTCAGCGGAGTGCAAGCAAACATCGAGCCCGCTTGATGTCAATGTGAAGGAATCTCCTCAACAGACCCCAACCTTGGTTCCATGTTAGCCGGGGTTCCACTTCCTGGAAAGTGGGGGTGAGGCATGTACAAGGAAGAAACTTTTGAAGCCGAAAGCACCTAATCCCGGAAGACCAGCGGGGGTTTCGCTGCCATGCATCCCTTTCTTGTGGATCTCCGTGAGGTGTTGGAATCTGCTGGGCTGTTCAAAGGCACGTCCTCTTCGCACGCCAAAAAACAAAAACGGAACTGCCGGGATTCAGTTTGACAGACTCTTTCGACAAGCTGTGACAGAACCTGTGGCAGACGGCTGCAGAGAAGCTGACAGCCGCGACAGTCAGAAGCTTCAAACCTCTGGCCACTCTGTCCGAAGCCTGCGGCTCCCGTCAGTGGCTGAAGCTGCGAGCGGGTGCAAAGATTCAAGCGTCTGGGGTCCGTACTTGCGCCTTAGCACACGAGCCGCGCGCAGGGAAGCACGTGCAGCTGGCAAAGCCATGCTGAGCCACAAGACACAGGAAGAGGAGGATTTAGCGCTGGACCCTTTTTTGTGAATGTGGCAACGTTTGACCCATGCTTTCAGCTAATTACCAGGTGCTTTCAACCCATGGGCCACAGATGCCGTGTTTTGGCCCCCCATTGCACACCCGTTTCTCCAGACCGGTGGCTTCCGCAGCGCCCTCGCCGGCCCACGGCTTTGAGTGCAGAGGCGCGGAAGCCGAGACTCAGCTTGGGCAAGCTTCAGCCAGGTGCTGTTGTGTGTGTTTGGGCCCCCGGTGCAGAGGGAAAGCAGGAGGAAGCTACAGTTTTGGGGGGTCCCATACTTTGGCACATTGCCGTGTGGCTGCCTATTATGTCGAGCTTGTCGATTCGGGAGCAGACCGGGTGAAAGCGCATTATTCAGGTCCTTTGCTTGTAGACTTGGCAGGTGTGGGTGTGTTTTGGTCGGTGGTTTTGTGCTTCACTTTAACGCAACTAAACAAGGCACCCTCCACAAAAGAGAGAGTGTGCGTTTTTGAGGCCACCCGTTTCAGGAGAGAGGGTGGCCGTGACCAAAATAAAGTCAAACTTGGGGGTCCCCTATTGAGGCACGACCTGTTGTGCCCTTGCCAAGTAAGGCGGCCGCGTTGCCTCGACAGAGCTGCTCTTGTCGTGTGAACTCGGCCTTACTTGGGGGAGTAGTACACGCCCGTTTGCAACGATGTTTTGCTGGTGTTATTGTTATGTGTCGACATAGGGGCACTTCAAAAATTGTGGTTGTCATTTTGGTGTCCTTTTGAAATGGGTACTGTCAAACAACACATATAATATATATCTATACACATGTACAGACATGCACGCAAGCACACACGGCCGCACATTTATGATTATCGGTTATGGAGTGATCCCGTCTCTTGACGAGGCAAAGTTGCGAGTTCCTCGCCACTTCGCCGGGTTCTTTGGGATGTTGCAAGGCTCTAGCCCACGCTATAGCAGGGGAACTTCCTTCCAAAGTGAAAGAATAGTTATGCTGTTGATGGACGAAGTCCTGCACCACCTATGAGGGATAAAATCTCACAAATACTGGAATGCACCACCTACCAACTGGCGCATCTTTTTCTCCACCAATCTGCTAGATGCTAAAAAATAGCAGAGAATATCATACCAATTCATATTCCTCCCCGACCCCGTGTTGGGCATGTTCCACCATACCAAGCTGCCCGATAGTCGGGCCCAGGGGACAGCGAAGCCCTTACGCCCTTACTACTGAACCATGGAGGCGTGTCAAAGGTTTCAGGTTTCACCACCACAGGGTAAATTCTGGTACATAGCGGTAAGCAAGCCGGTTCCCTTTGTCTAGTTCCCAATAAGGGCAACCAAGCCCCTGATTATTGGTCTCGGATCAGCATAATAGGATTATCATGGGGACAACTACGTTTCGAAGAGGGACCACTTATATAGGTTTTTCATGGGTTAATCGGCTGCTTTGGGGTCTCCTCGAGCGAGCGCAGGTTTTCCAGGGGAGCGCTCGCCCGGGGAGTCGCTGCCGTGGCTTCTGAAGATTACGGACTTCAACAGCGCCAAGCGCGTGGGCGCGTCGGGGAACGGCCGGGAACCCAAGAGCCCCGCGGCTTTGACAACACTAGCAAAGCAGCCAGACACTCTTGGCGATTGATCCAACAAGGACTTCGACTGACCCTCTCAAGAAAAATGGAAGTGGGCAGGCTGCTTTGGGAGGAATACTGTTCTTTCAGCGTAAGTTTATGTGGACTTCCATGTAAGTTGGTGGCAGGCTAGTAGGTGGCTGTTTCCCGACACAAGCTGACCGAGGCGAAAGTAAGGTGCCGGTTATGGTGCAAACAGCTGTCGTGCGAAAGGAGCTCCCCTCCTCCATATAATCGCTAACAGGCGAGGCAGGGCCTTTTCCTTCTCTTCTACTCTGGTCGCCGTTGATGGAGATGAATTGGAGGGCGGAGGAAGGAGAAGAATAGAGTGACAGAGGTTCTGGGAGAGACAGGATATACATAGTATAGCGTGGGTTAGAGACTCCTCGTTACTTTCCCACCTATCCGTTCATCACTCTCTTGTCCCAAATCTTAGTTCTGATGAAGACAGGTAGGATAGAGAGGAGAGTTGGGACGAGAGAGTCAGACCGTTCCATAGTGAGTCTTACATAGTGACAGGAACTCCAAACGTAAGAATGGAGTGCTGTGCCGTCTCAACAGACAACGTCTCCTGTTGGATTCCTTAAAAGGATTTCCCTCAAGCGCACCCAAATGGAGGCTTAGCGATCAGTTGGCCCGTGGGACCCCTAGCATCAGGATGAAAAGCCCTGGTGAAAATGGCAAAGCCTGGTGTGTCTTGGACACCAGCCTAAGCCAAGCGTCCGGAAGTTTGTACCTGCGTTGTTGACATGCTGCTTGGGCAAGGAATCCAGAAGTGATGATTCATTTTGGGGTCTTTCCCTGGGAAAAGGAGGGAAACATGACCCGGTAAGGGAAGCAACTAGGGAACCAAGGCCGAGTGGATCCAGTTCTAGTCGTTAAGGAGGGGAAACGATGTAAACTCTAAAGGTAGACTTCCTGGTTTCCAGCTAAAGATGCTTGCCGAGGTCATGCCGGGGTCCGCTGGGAAGAGAATCCTCCGCTTTTAAACGGGCCAAGCATTTTCCCGTAAGTTTCACGCTGGAACTGAACTTCCACCACCATCAGAGTGCCTGAGGTTTACTCCTCACCGACCGCGGCACGTGGGGGGACCTGAAGGGGTCTTCTTGCGGAGAAGTGCCCATTTTTTGCTGATTGTGTTTTGGTTTGTTTGTTGTTGTTTTGGTGTTTTGTGTTGTTTGTTATTTGTTTGCCTGTTTGTGTTGTTTGTTGTTTGTTTGTTTGTTTTGGTTGTTTGATTGTTTGTTTGTTCGATTGTTTGATTGTTTGTTTTTGTTTGATTGTTGGTTTGTTTTTGTTTTTTTTTTGGTTTGTTTGTCTGTTTGTTTTGTTGTTGTTGTGTTTCTTTGTGTGGTTTGTTTGTTTGTTTGTTTGTTTGTTTGTTTGTTTGTTTGTTTGTTTGTTTGTTTGTTTTGCTTGCTTATTTGTTTGTTTGTTTGTTTGTTTGTTTGTTTGTTTGTTGTGTGTGTTTGTTTGATTGTTTGTTTGATTGTTTGTTTGTGTGTTTATTTGTTGTTTGGTCGATTGTTTGTTTGCGTGTGGGTGTGGGTGTGGGTGTGTGTGTGTGTGTGGTGTGTGTGTGTGTGTGTCTGTTTGTGTGTGTCTGTGCGCGTGTTTGTGTTTGTGTGTGTGTGTTTGCGTCTGTGTTTGCGTCTGTGTCTGTGTCTCTTTGTGTGTTTGTGTGTTTGTGTGTTTGTCTGTGTATCTGTCTGACTGCGCGTCTGTCTGTGTTGTGAACTTACATTCAATCCGTGTATTATAACATCGTGTGTTGGAATACTGTTCGAATCATTGGGAGCGTATATCAATAACACGTGTTGGGTTGCTTTGAACTATGTGGTGTAGACATCTATATCGTCTATCATTTGTTGCTGTTTGTGTGCGTGCTTTCTTGGTGACTAGCATAATGAGCACACGCATGTTCATTTACACCAAGCACGTTGGGCCAGACTAGCTTGAGATTCCCCAGGTGTCCGCTCGGTTCCGTATCGCTCAGGCAGCTCTTTAATGCGCCAGAGCTGAGGCCAAGTCGGATGGAGTACGTAGGTTCTGCCGAAAACAGGGCCCCTTAGAGGATACATATGGGTCAGAAAAACGTCACCTTTACCAGTTGAGTAAAAGAAGCTCCTTGCAACAAAGTTGCTTTTCGGATGTATCCTTGGAGGACCCCTGGAAAACGTTTCGACATTGTTCTTCTCCGTGGTCCTTGCGTAAGCTCTTTCTCTAGTTCTGTAAAGTTAGTTTGTCGAGGGAGCGTTTAATTCTAGGAGGGGAACCGCTGTTGTTGGGAAGGTTTCAAAGGAAAGCGAAAAAGAAAATCACCATGTTCGGGGTGTGTTCTGGGAGAGACACTTGACTCATTCACTTTGCTGCAGCCAGGAGGCCTTACTAACTGTCCAATGTGCATTAGGATCGCATATGTCGACCGTAGCTTCTATGCTTTGAGATGGGTTTGTTCCCAGGACGCCAAGTTTTCAGGAGAGACCCGAGATTGTTCTCCTCCGGCAAAGCGACTTTTGGACCGTTTGGTGTCTCTGCTTTGGTCCTGAATTTTGCCCGCAACAGGTCAACCTTGTATGTCCGGCTCCGGTTGGAGTGTGCGTCCTTGCGTGCACTTTACGCAAGGCCACTATAGACTAACAACCAAAGCTTGGACTCTGAATGTGTGATCCCGTTAATGAATCCCTTATGTATGTGCCAATGACCCTTTCATCTTTAATCAATATTGTGCAGCAAATGATTTCGAGGATGTCATTTATGGACATCCCCAAGTGCTAGGAGCCAATTCCGTTCGACTGTGCAGGAGAATTGTAAGATTCCTTCTGGAGGTATGCCCAACTTAGCCAAAACATTTGGAATCAGAAGTTCACTGTTGCTTGTCACTCCAAGATCTCAAAATAAGCTCAAAACGTGTTGTTTCCCTAAGCATATCAGCCGACATATGGAGGATTCAAGCATGTAAGCTCGATCACTTTCAGGGTTCTCCTTGTCAAATCTATTCATTGAACAACATACGGTTAGCTTGTGATTTTTGAGTCTTGAGGCATGTCAAGTTTGGTCCATCAAAAGATTGCCATTTCTTCCTGAGGACTTTATTGGACGGACCATCCTGAGAGCTGTTTGCTTGAAGGCGGTGGAAGTGAGCGGATTTCTTGGCTCGGATCGCACAAGAACCATTTTGGGGGGCCAAAGCCTATTTTCAGACACACGGAGGGGAGAGCTGAGAGCCGCGTAGGTTTGGACGCCTTTGGAACGAGCGCATTGACATTTGGGCCTCCGGGTGCTGATCTGAGAGAGCGATCTGCTGAATCCAACGACGTGCTGACATCTTGTTCTGCTTTTTGCATGCTTCAAAACGTCATAGTTGTGCCATGCTTTGGTGATTTTAGCTCCATGGGAGCCGAAGAGCTACCATGTTGTTCTGCTTTCCCCAAAAAGATATCCCAAAGAACGAGATGCGAAGTTGTTTCTTTTTGAACCCTATTTAGCACCCAAGTTTGGTCCGTGCTTCGTCAAGATCACAGCGGCTGAGTCAGGTCCCTGTGTGTTTTCTGGAGCCAAACGGGAGCCAACGGAAAGCTCGAGTCCTGTCCCCTCCATTTCTCCCGGACCTCCGAGTGTCAGGGCTCACCAATCGCATCCTACCCTTAGCTACTTGTCCGGGGAACGTATGTTTATCAATGGGGTCGCAGGGGGTCCCAAGTATCATTTGTTGGGGGAGTGGGTGTGTAGCATTCTGGCGGAGATACATCAAAGGAGCATGTAGGCGATCCGGAACAGAGGCTGTGGGATGCGGACTCGGGCACTGAGCAACCCAGGCTTGGGGAGACACGAAAACGATCGTGCAAGCCGTGCTAAAGCAAGGAAGCCGAGCAGCGGAAAGCTCAGGAAAGCAAATGAACAACGGGCCTTATTTCATGGTGAAAAGCGCGTGATTGTACACAGGGAAGAAAGTCGATCATGCAGGAAACAACGTGATCTACCTGTTCGCTGCTCTTCAGGTGGTCGTTGGTCTAAATTTATTGATCCTCTTCTAGTTTCAGAGAGCCCTTCAGGAGGGGCGCCTTCGGGCAGTTCAGGCAGAAACAGAACGCGCCCGATCAACCGGGCGTCCTGAGAGGTGTGCGCCAACCGAAAAAACGGAAAATTGCCCGGAGTTACCCGAGAAGCGAACCCGTTTGCGCGATCCTCCGTTAAGGGCTGCCAAGTAGTTATCCAACGCACAAGCCTGATACACCTATGGGCTTGGGAGCCAACTTGTTTTGAATCTCTTGGTATCCAAAGGAGCAATTTTCGACCCAAGTCACAAAGCTTTTAAAAGACTCGCTCGTCGATATTCCCAAACAACAATATTCGGGATGATGGATTCAGCGGAACCTTAGGCAGAACTTGTGAGGGTATCGTGTTGTCCTGTTTGCTTGGCCCTATTGATACACTGGTAATTGCAACGTTATCATTGACGAGGTGGAGTGCGAGGCTGTGATTTGCTGGATTGCCTTCAAGACCTTGCCCGTGAGGGAGCTTTTAGCTTTGGCGATCAACAATTCGCCGAATGGTGGCAATTTTTGAGAAGCCTCCGGGTGAAATGCCATCTTGTGAGATCAGACAGGAGATTGCTTCAACCAAACTACCAAACTGGACCTCAGCTTGACCCACTTGCGCGCCAGCCCCTCTGAGCCTGAGGCTGTGCCTCTACTTTATGCTGGCCAAGCATGTGCCCTTCAACATTGGAGATCCGAAGGCCGCCCTGCAGGTTGGCGCGGCCCCTCCCCACACATTTTCCACTAGGGTACAAGGGAAACAATGTATTACTTACTGTATGGAATGGGCCCCGGCTAGGGGATGCTAGGGGCGGGCTGCCGTGATGAAGGTCCTTTACTAAGGAATCCCGAACTTCCTGTTTGTGAAGTAGCATAATTTGCGCAGGAATCGAAAAGACAACACCGCAGGGATTTCCGCATTGTCTTTGCTTGGGAGTGCAATTGGAAACACACCAAGGAATGCACAAATTAGATATTTGAGTGCGCGTTCTCACAAGTAAGGGGTCGCCAATGTCCCGCAACTAAGCCCCAGAACTGATGGTTCTTCACCAATTATAGAGGGGTGAATGCCAGGGGTGCATACATGGGGGAGGCTTTAGCAAAGCCCACCGCTGATTTTATTCACATGCTAATCAAGCTGTGTTTTTGGGAAGATCCTTGTATGATGTTCACAAGGTCAGACCTGCTGCATGGCAACAGTCCGGAGTTTGCTTCGCGTGTTTCCCCATTGTCTCTTGAGTGTGACTTCCTCACAAGTCCCGGACTTCCAGCTGCACCGTGTTGTCGTTGTTTGAAGGGGGTCCCTTTTACAGTAAGTCAACCACCATAATGTGCCGTAGCCACTGGAGCCCGTGTTCCTCGCCCCCTCATTGGGAAAGCCGACTCCAGCACTGTTTCTGGGCAGGTGGCGGAATCACTGCTGGCAGGCGGGCGGAAGTTGAAGTTGCAGTTTGGCGGGTAAGTATCCGGAATTGAACAGCTGCTGCGGCATTTTATTTTTTTTAACGGCATGCTTCCCGAAAGGGATTCAACAAAAGGGCAGCACGGATCTGCATATGCGTTTGATGTGTGCATTGTGTATTTGGTTGATTGGGCTTTCACATCAACGAAATACGCGCTCAAGCAAGTGAGTGGGCAACTGGTGATTCCGAAAAACAGCCTCTAGCATGGCGAAGCACAGTAAGCCGTCGTTGACCTGTGTTGTTGACTTTGAGTCCGCCCAAAGTAGGGCTCAGCCGAGGACCTTGTTTTGGTTTGAAGCCCTGTTTCTGGCCCAACGGACGAATCAGGAAGCACCGCTTCGAGCAAGCCCTCAACTGGCCCAGGCGTAAGCCACAAAACACCTGCTCCACAAAAGTCAAAAAAAGGTCCTCGAGTACGTAAAGTCAAAAAGGGCGCTTCAAAAACAACGGAGCCGACTTGTTGAGGAGTGGATGGCACATGATGGCCCAGTTTGTTTATGGTCAGGTTCGGGTGTGGGGCATGGGCCACTCGTTAAGTTTCAACGAACCCAGAACGAAACCCTAACATGAAGCTTGTTCCATGTCCATTGGGGTAACCGCATAGTTTTGCTGTGGTCCATGTGCCAATTTGTTTGCATCATTTGTTGATACTCACAAAATGCTTGCAACACCAGCCAATACGCGTTTGCTTCCTCAACCATTCCTGTCTGCAACGGCAAAAATGCCCCGGTAGGAATCCGGTTCAAAATTGACCCAGGGAATCAATGTTTCGAAAAAGTCAACAACTAATTGAAGTGAGGCTCATTTTTCACGACCAGTTTCGTGGTCGAAGGAGCCCTGCACGAGGTGGTTTTTGTAATCGAGCTTTTTTGAAAGGAGGGTAGATGATGTTGCAATTTTCACCCAAGACTTGAGGAAGCTAAGGTTTACCGTTTGGATGGAAAGGTAAGGAACCCCATGTTTGCTTGTGGTGCACAAGTTCCCCACTCAGACCCGTTTGCGCCCTTTGGTTGTTTGGAGGAGCTTGGAGAAAAGTAAATCGACACGTTGGTTTGACTGGCCATGGGTCTTCTGTGAGCTTTGAAAGAGAAACCAAAGGGAAACTGGTTTGGGGGTCGCCCAAAATTTTGAGACATACCCCCAAATCCCCTAGTTCCAATCCAACAACTAAGCCTCTGTATCTTTCAGTCCCGTTAAACTCGGGCTTTCCGGGTTTTCCTACATCCGGAAGCCGCGAGGAAAGCTGCCAGCTGTGGATTGGAGCATCATGTCGCCTTTGGCGGGCAACTTGATCAGGCGATCTCGCCAAGCCGCCAAAGGTCCTTGTGGTAGCGCTGAGATGCTGGTCAAGCCAAGAGGAAACCTCACCAAGTATCGTGTGCCAAAATCCAGAGTCAGGGCAATCCTAAGAATATCGGCCGTAGCCGTAGCGAGTGGACTGCATTTGACCGTTTGGGAACCAGTTTGAGTCATGGCAACCCAAAAGGACAACGTGGCCCTGTCCCGAAAAAGAGAAAGAAAACAAAAGCATACTCCCCCCAAAACAAAAAGAGAAAAAAGATAAAGATCTCAATGATACGAGGAGTCTCGTGTTAGGGCCAAACCCCGTTTAGGGGTTCAATGTGTGTGTGTGTGTGTGTTTTTTCCTCGGCGGGAGTGTGTGCAGTCCCACTAGAAATTGTGTGTCTTGTTTTTGCTGCCATTTGGCGCGAATCCAGGGACCCTTTAAAAGGCTTGATTTGCATTTGAGTAAGTTTCAAGTCTTGGTCATGTGGATTTCTCGGGATTATCATGAATCAGTAGAGGTATTTCAGACATCCACTGCCTAGTTGCAAACCTTCCCACCTGTTCGTTTGGACGTAGAGGGATGATGTTGACTGTTCAATAACGTTTTGAGAGATCCACCTTGACGGAGGTCATCAAATTGGTTTGGCGCAACAAGCTCAGACTTTATTTGGCTTGTTTGCTTAGAAAGCGGGGCAGGGCGAGAGAGACAGATAGAGAGAGAGAGAGAGAGACAGAGAGCGAGAGGGGGGAAAAACAAAAGGAGAGGGAGGGAAGGAGGAAGGGAGGGAGGGAGGGAGGGAGGGAGGGAGGGAGGGAGAGAGAGAGAGAGAGAGACAGAGAAGATGCTCCATGCACAGTCTGACCGTGTCCCGATGTCCCGAGACGTTCGTTTCGGAGGCTCAAAGACCAACCCAACCCAAAGATGAACATGGGAGTGGTAGAAAGCCACTAAACGAGTACCACGAAAAGCCGAAGTGGCGTGACCCCCAAGCCACCCATTTCATCCAGGTGCGCCTTGCGAAGCGAATGCCAGGCAGTGCCTCTTTGTGGATCCCTGCGACCGGCCCACCGCCATGGAGCTGTGGGGCGCCCAGTCACAGCGGTGCGGAGAGCCTTGGATGCGGTTCTCTGCGCGCTTGGCCTGGCAAAGCATTTTCGGGAGCCCGCACTCGTGACCGGTCCTGAGGTCCGTTCCCTTTAACTTCCGTTTTGTTTTGTTTTGCAGGAAGTCACTCCCTTGCAGAGGAATTCAGAAAAACAGCTCTTGGGGTTGGTAGGAGTGGCCTTCAGCCAAAAGGGGTTCTAGGCGACCAAGGCTTCCTGTGGAGCACTGGATACTGGGCACGTTGGTTTTTCTTCAGGAGTCCTTTGTTCTTAGCCAGGCCTTCCCATAGCCATGCCCAGCGCCTCGCGGCCTCGCGTGTGAGGCGCTTGCATCCCTTCTTTGGCAGCAAGCACAGGTCCGATTCCAGGCGAAGCCCTCAGCACGGCTTCCGAGGTTCCCAGCCAGTCGAACGAAGTCTTCGGACACCAGTTATTTGCTTTTTGAGACGAGGTTGTCTCGTTCAGGCCAGAATCTGTTTGGCAAAGGGTCGCCCCCTAGACCTAGAATTGCAAACGTTCTTTTTGCCCAGCTTCTCGCAAAGAAGATGGCAAGAGGGCTGCACGCCACACTGTGTTGAACAACACGTTCCAGGGACTCCCTCTTGCCAAGTGTGCAAACCACCTCACTGTCATATTTGGTTCCTAGAAAAGGCAATGCAGCTTCCGGCCTGCTTCGCTTTGGCCAAGGTGCCTATGACCCCTGCAAATGGCAAAGGCTTCCTTTCCGGGTCCCGTTTAGCACCAGAGAGGTCACATCCGTTTTTGTGCCATGGGTCCAGCGTCCAGGTCTGCGCACGTCGCAATTCAAGCTGATTGGTATACCGCCCAGTTCGCTTCGTGCGTCGGAGTGGGTTGCAACATGTGGCCGTCCCTTTGAAAGGCGGCGCACAATGACAAGGGGCACCAGACAAAATCACCAGAGCTCGGTTTGGAGTATCGCTGCAAGGTGTTCGAAGTGTCGCGTCAGTCAAATTGCTTCGACACCTGAGCCATGCTCATAGGTGTGGAACCACTCTCCTGGGTTGCTTGGTTTAAAACGAAAGGCGGGTGACCCTTTTTATCGCACTGAAAGAGTCATGTTGCATGTCCTCCCATCCCCGAAATGGGCGTGACCCAAAATGATGACACGTAGGTCAAGTACTCAGGCCATTCAGGTTGCCCAAACTCCACCCAAAGATTCACGATATGTCTCCAAATTGGGAACCCCAAGCATAGGTGTTGCTTTTAAGCTTCCCTGTAGAACACTAGGAAATCTTCAAAAAGACGCCTAAGGTGTTCGGCATGATTTGTACGTTGCTTTTGCAAGCCTCAGAACCTATTCCTGGTTTGCTTTGTCTAGCGTTCTGGGTCCCGAAGCTCAAAACTTGGTGGCTCCCAGCCATCCGGTTCCTTTGCTTTTTAGCCCTTTTAGTGTTTAGTGGTAGTTTCCATTTAACCCACTAAACGCTGAACTTTTGGCGGGGGATCTGAGGGCTCAGAAAAGAAGGTCCCGCCAGAAGGATGTAATCGACATCTGAGAGATCAGCGGTCGCCAGAAGCATCAGCCATGTTTCGCAACCTCTTCCGGGGACCATAGGGAAGTCCTTTTTGGTTGTTTTGCCTCAAAAATCGAAGGCCCTGGTTTACCTGGTGGTTCAATCATCTACCAGGGCCATCTATTTTCTATAAAGGACACATAGCGAGGAGCCCCGAAAGCCTTTCCCCCGTGTATTGCAGTTCCATCCCCGAAGAACCGCCCCCCCGCCCCCTTCCATGTCCAGATGCGCAGGGGTTCGACCCTTGAAGCCGTGGATGCCAAGTACTTTGAGGCAGGCGTGTCATTTTGGGATACTTTGGCTTCATATATGTTGCTTATTTCGAAAGGGCGCCAAAGGGTGGTGGCGAGTTTCTCGTGGTTGCTTCAGAAGCCCTATGTTGGCCCGGTACGGCCCGAGAGTCGCGGGTTCATGTATATTGTCGAGCTGTGTGCTGCGATTGTGTGTTTGCTTTGTGTCTGTTGTGTGTATGCGTGTTGGTTGTGCATGCCTCGGTTTCAGGGTTTGTTTCCCGTTCCTGCGCTAGCGCGCTCAGGCTTCGTTGGATAGGTTGCAACGAGCAAGCGCGTGGGAGCTTCAAGGGATTGGTTGGGAAATGGATTGGGACCGTATCGAAACAAAGGATTCCTCATTCATGTTCACTTTGTGGGCACGGAAATCTTGTGTGGAGATGTTTGGGGGGAGCGTTGTCCCAGTGTGTGGATTCAGGAGCCAATTAGTCTCCAAACTTATTTGAGCCGTTTGGTTGTGTTTCGCTTTGTTGCCGGTGCTTGTCAGATCAACAAAGCCGGTGTGTTCCCATTCTGAAATCATGTTTGCCATAAGCTCCACGTTTTAAAGTTCACCAAATATATGCACCGCAATCCCAAAATAGCATCGAGTGGGGGAACAACTAGCCGTCGGAGCATTTGTGAGACGCCAGGGGGTGCTCGACCGAAAGGATTCCAAGGCCCGGCGTCTGGAAGGAGCCTTTGACTGAACAACGACATGCAGCCTCTTTTCTTCCCCAAAATTCGCGCCCCTTTTTGATTTTTTGTTCGCTTTTTTGGGGTCCCCTTTGTTTTCCACTTAGAGTTTTTGCTGGGGTCCTCATTCCAGCCAAGTGTATAGAGTCTATTATATAATATACATATATAGTGTGGATGGAGAGTTCATCCTGGTGAAGGACACCCTTGAAAAGCACTTGACACTCACCGCGCGACCGAACTGTACAAGGGGCTGCCGATTGCTGATTGCAGGGTTTCCAACCGCTTGGCTGCTTTGAAGCATGGGTTCCGGATGAACACCGCCTCTCTCCACCTCAAGTTGATTCCTCGCCTGATCACTCGGCAATGACCCGAGATACCGACAGCTTGCGAGGTGTTTTCCCGATGTGATCTGGGTTTCTGGGGCCGGCTCAAAAAAGCAAAACGCCTTGACCAAAGCGGGATTCCCAGCCTCACGACTGCTTTAGCATTTTATTGCCGCATTCCTCCCCCCGAATGAATTTACTTGACTTAACGAGGGGTGTTCTCTCGGTGTTGCAAAAAAAAGAGAGTCCTGCAGTGCAGGCTCAACGTTGTTGAAAGGCCAAAATACGACGTTGTACCCTTGTCATTTGCCTTTCCTAACACGGGCCTCAGTATCGACAAGAATCAACCAGGTGTCTGTTAATTAGGGGTGTTCACGGCCCCATGTTGGGGAAATCGAAGAAGCGATTGACAAAATGATTTATAGCCCAAAGGTTTCAAGAACCCTTCTGTGAAACGTGGCGCAACCAGAGGCCTCGGAGGCGAGGGCTTGTGCGCGGTTGCACTCACGTGCGGCCAAAGGAAACTAAGGCCTTTTGCTGGAACATTGAAATTCTGAGAAGGAATAGCACCTCAAGTTGCGGGATCTAAGTACACCCCTTGATTCATGGTCCCCCTTGAGAAGGCTGGTAAGGTTCCTCGAAGATGCGGGAGTTCGTGGAAGGAAAGGGTTTGGCTTCCAAAACAAAGACAGGGTTGTCAAAATTTGGGGCACCTCTCCGGTAGCCCCTTCAAACGGCGGCAGGGCTTGAGCCGAAAACAAAAACGGGGTGCCATATTTCAGACAAGGGTGTGTCTGTGCGTGTGGCTGTTGATAAGGAAGTCTCTGTCGGGTTGTTTTACAGAAAACCGGACGGACACCAATTTAGAGAGCTCTACTCCCCAAAAGCACAGTTGCCGCTTGCGGTGCTTTGCCAGGGGCTTGCTGACCGAAGGGAGTCCAAGGCGAGATGCGGAGTGGAAGAGTTCTGCCCAGTGTCCTTGTTTCTTTTCTTTTCTGGGGGAGGTCAACTTTAAGACCAGCCAAGCCATAAAGTCGCAAAGGTGACTTTTTCCCAACAGATCGTTCGACAGTCGCTAAGTATCAAAAGCCAAAGGGCTTGAATTCATATGGGACCCTTTGGTGGACACCAATTCGGTTGGGATTCGTATCCACCAAATGTTCCCTATGAGGATTCATTTGCAAATGGCCAGGAGAAACACAAAGACTACTAGTCTAGTTGCTATTTGGCTTACTCGCAATATGGGTCTGTCTTTTTTGTGGGGACTTTTTCGAAATGGTGGTGTTCCTTTTGGCTTCCCTTTAGAAGAACCCAACAAACGTACCCTTAAAAAAGAATCGCACTTATATCAAAGGAGTCAATCGCTAGGCATTTTGATGCCAGGATTCCAGCACCTCGAGCTTTACGGCGAGCCGCCGGATTTCCCTTGAGATCCCATCCTTCGATTCTTGGCTGACGTATCTTTTTTTTGTGTGCAACATGTAAGGTGCGTTACTTTAACATATTGTGCTCGCATCGCGGGGCAAAAAGTGAGGTAATGAAATTTTATGGTTGAACTGAGCCGATCATGTTGGCGGTTTCTACGGTCGAGTCGAGCGGTATGTTAATAAAACCGCTTGTTTTGACCAGGGTCTGGAATATTTCTTACACATTTGATTGGGAGTAAGAAATGGTGGTTTCAATCCAGAGTCTTGACCGGATTTCTCATTTTGGTAGATTTAGGCAACAACTTGTGTTGAACTATTTAAATTTGTAGGTTTAAGTGAGAGTTCGTTTAAATATTCACATTGCGTGATAATTGATAGAAGACTACGGGATAAGAACCGGCATCTCGACCCCCGGCATCTCGTGGTCCCCCCGTCGTCTTTCCGTAGTCTTCCCGCTGCAGTCTGCCCGTTGTCTTCCCGTGTTTTGAAGGGTTCCCGGCCCGCAGTCAGGCCCACATACATTTTTCGGGCTACGGAAAACACATCTACTGGCAATGCCATTCTCGGGGTGATGCGCAGTGATGAACCTTCGCAAGCCAAGAGCGTGTTTTGAAGGGTTCTCGGCGCATGGTCGCGAGCAGATGCGTTTTCTTGGCTCTGGGACACGCATCTGCCTACAACGCCACCCTCGAAGTGCTGCCCAGACGCGTCGTAAGGGAAGCAATGAGCGGGTTTTAAGGGTTCCCAGGCCACGGTCAGTTCAGATGCATTTTTCAGGCTCGGGAAAACACAACTTCCCACAACGCCACCCTCAAAGCATTGCCGAGACGCTTCGTAAGGGACCAAGACAAGCAAAGAGCGCGTTTTTAAGGAATCCCGCCCGCGGTCGGGCCCGGGACATTTTTCGGGCTCGGTAAAACGCATCAATGCCACCCTCAAAGTAATGCCTAGGCGGCTGTTTATGTGTTTTTGTCTGGGCCCCATACAAGTAATCATGCTGGTCAATTTCGTGGGGATATGTTTTTTTGTTTGTTTCTGATTTGTGGAGCGTTTGAGAGTCTCAAATGATTTATTTGTAGACAATTTGAGGGTCTAATTTATTGCTTCATAATATGTCTTAACACACCAACGGACCGTAGGGGTCGTCAAAATCAGAAACTTACTCTGTAGCCTACAACTCGTGGCCAGCGGGTGGCTTTGAAAGTGCAACACTTGCAAGAGGGCCAGAATTGGAACTTTGAGCGCTGCGACGGATGGCATGCGAGTGCGCAATTCGTGTGCTGATGGTGATGGCGGCCAGCTGTGGCATACATGTGAAGCAAACAAACAAAGAAGAAAGCAAACCCAAGTATGCAAAGAAAGGCAATAAATAAAAACGAAAGTAAGAAATAAGGGCATCATCAATAGAAAGAAGGACACATAAATATAGAAAAAACAAAGAACACCATCAACGAACAAGAGAGAAACAGACAGAACACGAGAAAATAAAGATAAAACGGCGAACAAGTTCCGAACAAGGCAACAAAATGAGGTAAATGAATGGATTAATAAACACACAAATGCACAAATTAGACAGACAGGCAGGCAGAGAGAAACAAGAAAGAAATAATAAAAGTCACAATAACAGAAGAACACAATATGAAAAGAAGCAAATAAAAGAAGAACGCAACAAACATTAAACACCAATTACACAAATTGACAAAGCAGCAAGCAAGCGACCAAACCGAGCACAAGCGCAAGCACACAAGCAAACAACCAAACACACGCACAACCGACCGAACAAAAAAAAATCGACTTAACCAACAAACTGCCAAGGGGTATGATCTTGCATCGTCGGTTGGTGCTTGCTTGCTTGCTTGCTTGCTTGCTTGCTTGCTTGCTTGCTTGCTTGCTTGCTTGCTTGCTTGCTTGCTTGCTTGCTTGCTTGCTTTGCTTGCTTGCTTGCTTGCTTGCTTGCTTGCTTGCTTGCTTGCTTGCTTGCTTGCTTGCTTGCTTGCTTGCTTGCTTGCTTGCTTGCTTGCTTGCTTGCTTGCTTGTGTCATTGAATTGTCGGTTAGCCGGTTGGTTGGTTTCTTTGCTGCTTGGTTGCTTGGTTCCGTGGTTGCTTGGCTGGTTTTGGCTGGTTTTGGTTGGGCTTGGCACTCGAGGGGGGGCTGTGCAAATACCAGTGAGTTTGGTCATGCTGATATCTTTTCCAAGCTGAGGGGCCATTCGAATGCATGTGTGTGGAGTGTTGCGAAGGTCCCTGGGGGAGTTCCGGGGGGGGGGGGGGGCAAGTGATGACAGTCAAGGCGGGACTTGTTCAAAACATTGACCCACGATCTGCTTGCAGTTTTCGGGTCCTGCCGCAGGGAGCCCACTCAACCCCACCCCGTCCATCTTGTGAGTCAAGGATTCAAGCCAATTCGGCGCAACACGCAGACCTGCCAGGGATGTAGTGTGGGACCCACCTAAGCAGATGGTACTCGAGCTTCGCACGGGTCAAACGCTGTCTTGACTTTGGCAAGTTGGGCAAGACAACGCAGCATCCTTTTGTTTGGTTGTTGTTTTGGTTGGGGGTGCTTGGTTCTGCTTGGTTGACTATGTTTTTGCTTGGGTGTTGGGTCGGGCTTGCCCAGTTTGGGGTTGGCGTTCAATTTGGTTTTGGGGCTGTTGGTGCTGCTTGGTGTTGGATTGGTTTCTGTTGCTAGGCTTTGGTTTGGTTGACTTTGGGGATGTTGGCTGGAGTTGCTTGGCTTTGTGTGGTTTTGGTTGGTTAGTTGCTTGCTCCGTTTGTTTGTCTTGTTTGCAGGTGTGTGTCTGTTTCTTGTTCCTTGATGTTGCTTGAATTTGGGGTTGGCTTGGCCATGAAGTTACACATGGCGTTGTCCATGGCAGCTTCTCTGCAACACCAAATCAGCTTTAAGCAAGGGATCCCAGCAAAGACCTGTCCGCTTGCCTGTGGTGCCTAGGAGCCTTCTGTGCTCGTTCAGCGCAGCCAGCCACGTTTTTGGGATGTCAGGGAGGTGGGAAACAATGCGTTGACCTATTCACACAATCAGGCTTCTTAATTAGTCAAGTAGGTTGGGAGAGCAGGGGATGCTTGACTTATAAGCATGGTTACAACCTTTTCACAAAATTAGTATGCTTCCCGGCATCTGCGTTTGTGGTAGATTGGTAAAGCTTCACTTTGGCCCATCGTGACATAGGATCACGCGCAAGAAGCATCTTGGATTATACAAAGTACAGCGGGGGTTACAAAAATGATTTGATTGAATTGATTGATTTTCTGACTGGTTTATTGGTTGATTGGTTGTTTGGTTGTTTGTGTGGTTGCTTGCTTGGTTTGTTGCTTGGTTGCTTGGTGGCTTGACTGGTTTGTTGGTTGGTTTCTTGGTTGCTTGGTTGCTTCGTCGCTTCGCTTCTTCGTTGGCTGGCTGGCTGGCTGGCTGGTGTATATGTCTGAGTGTTTTCGTTTCTTGTGTGTGTGTGTGTGTATTTCTGTTGTGTGTGTGTGTGTGTGTGTGTGTGTGTGTGTGTGTGTGTGTGTGTGTGTGTGTGTGTGTGTGTGTGTGTGTGTGTGTGTGTGTGTGTGTGTGTGTGTGTTGTGTGTGTGTGTGTGTGTGTGTGTGTGTGTGTGTGTGTGTGTGTGTGTGTGTGTGTGTGTGTGTGTGTGTGTGTGTGTGTGTGTGTGTGTGTGTGTGTGTGTGTGTGTGTGTGTGTGTGTGTGTGTGTGTGTGTGTGTGTGTGTGTGTGTGTGTGTGTGTGTGTGTGTTTGTGTGTGTGTGTGTGTGTGTGTGTGTGTGTGTGTGTGTGTGTGTGTGTGTTGTGTGTGTGTGTGTGTGTGTTGTGTGTGTGTGTGTGTTTGTGTGTGTTGTGTGTGTTGTGTGTGTGTGTGTTTGTGTGTTTGTGTGTTTGTGTGTTTGTGTCTTTGTGTCTTTGTGTCTTTGTGTGTTTGTGTGTTTGTGTGTTTGTGTGTTTGTGTGTTTGTGTGTTTGTGTGTTTGTGTGTTTGTGTGTTTGTGTGTTTGTGTGTTTGTGTGTTTGTGTGTTTGTGTGTTTGTGTGTTTGTGTGTTTGTGTGTTTGTGTGTTTGTGTGTTTGTGTGTTTGTGTGTTTGTGTGTTTGTGTGTTTGTGTGTTTGTGTGTTTGTGTGTTTGTGTGTTTGTGTGTTTGTGTGTTTGTGTGTTTTTGTGTGTTTGTGTGTTTGTGTGTTTGTGTGTTTGTGTGTTTGTGTGTTTGTGTGTTTGTGTGTTTGTGTGTTTGTGTGTTTGTGTGTTTGTGTGTTTGTGTGTTTGTGTGTTTGTGTGTTTTGTGTTTGTGTGTGTGTGTTTGTGTGTTTGTGTGTTTGTGTGTTTGTGTGTTTGTGTGTTTGTGTGTTTGTGTGTTTGTGTGTTTGTGTGTTTGTGTGTTTGTGTGTTTGTGTGTTTGTGTGTTTGTGTGTTTGTGTGTTTGTGTGTTTGTGTTTGTGTGTGTGTTTTTGTGTGTTTTGTGTGTGTGTGCTTGTGTGTTTGTGTGTGTTGTGTATTTGTGTCTTTGTGTCTTTGTGTCTTTGTGTCTTTGTGTCTTTGTGTCTTTGTGTCTTTGTGTCTTTGTGTCTTTGTGTCTTTGTGTCTTTGTGTCTTTGTGTCTTTGTGTCTTTGTGTCTGTGTCTTTGTGTCTTTGTGTGTTTGTGTGTTTGTTTGTGTGTTTGTGTGGTGTGTTGTTTTGTTGTGCTTGTGTGTTTGTGTGTGTGTGTTTTGTGTGTCTTGTGTTTGTGTCTGTGTGCTTGTGTGCGTGTGTTTGTGTGTTTGTGTGTTTGTGTGTTTGTGTGTTTGTGTGTTTGGTGTGTGTGTTTGTGTGTTTGTGTGTGTGTGTGTGTGTGTGTGTGTGTGTGTGTGTGTGTGTGTGTGTGTGTGTGTGTGTGTGTGTGTGTGTGTGTGTGTGTGTGTGTGTGTGTGTGTGTGTGTGTGTGTGTGTGTGTGTGTGTGTGTGTGTGCGGAGTGGCAGAATACCCTGTCACCACAGTTAGTAGCAGGGGGCCAGCGGCCATCAAGCAAACGCTGGCCAACGAAGTTATGCTTGATGGTGGATGCACGGATTGATCACCCGTGCGTACCTGCTTTTGTGAAGTGATGTTGATGAAAGTCCAGTTGGCCGCTTCTTTTGCCGCTGTGTGTGCTTCATGTTGAACCTTGTAACGTTTTCGACACTAGAGTGAAGCCAAGTGACCTGCCAGCCGAACCTTATCCGACTTGAGACTTGTCAGTTGTACTCGGGACTCATCAGTTGTACTCGAAAGATTAGCACCCTCCATCTGGAGTTTAAGTGTGTACACCCCATTCGTGGGAACCCTCGGGTGTACCCATTGTGTGACCCCGGGCCGACTCTGTCGGAAAATTTGACCTCAACGTGCTTATCATAGAACAGCGGAATTTCTGATTTAACCAGGAACGAGGTTTCACTAAAGGGAAGACAGCCGTCAGATCATAGCTAAGTCTCACAATCGCTGCTGGTGGCTGCATGACCGCGTGTTGATCTGTGCTTGACTTGAACTTGCGTTGACTTGCATCTTGTCGGATTCGATTCTCTCAAGATTGAGGTGTCGCAGTTTTGAGTTTGTTGTGCCATCATGTCTCGACGGGATGATCGTGACAGATCCAGAACACGGCGCAGACGGGATCGGAGTCCTTCCCCTCAAGCTCGCAAAGCACGCCGACGCGAACACAATGACAATCAGGTCTCGGAGGGCATGGATTGGAACAACCTGGTATCCTGGCAACACAATTCAGGCTACAACTCCAGCAACAATTTTCCGGTGATGCCAGGCAATTATCAATCGATTCCAAACCCCACGCAGCAGTTCCATCATTCACCGGTCAACTACATGATACCGGTTCCTCCAAAGCCCACGCCAGCGAAGTTCATCACGCCCGTGATGCCACCACCGGTCACTCCTTCTCAAGCTACACCATCGCCTGGATACCCTGCAGCCCTGCCAGTTCGACCTCAGAAAGCATGGCTTACACCACCGGTTGACTGGACACCTGGAGATGGCATGCTAGACATCAACCAGCTCTACAACTTCAGCCTGTCACAACAACCTACGTGACATGTCCGGCATGGACATTCGTGACGTTCGCCTGAATCAGGTCATTCACGGGGGCATCACCAACTGGCTGCTCCGACCATTTGCTCACGGCAGGTTCGTGACATGGGAAGGCTTTCGCACTCGCACCGAGGCCCTACTTTGGAGTACCTGTTCCAAACTACTACGACGATCACAGTCGATCAACCTGCTCACCTTAGAGAAGGACCTTGCCAGCTCACTGGGGCTCAACATTGACGACTTCAACCAGCGTATCAAGGTTCATGACCATTTGGCCAACTTGGTGCTTCAGTTCCTTCAGCAGCAACACGCGAATCTCACGCCCTCTACCCAAACGGAAGACATGGTCAAGAAGTTCAATGATCTAAATCGAGCTCATGAGTTGCTACAGGCTCAGTATTCGGCATCGCTACGCGCTTCGACTTCCCCTACGGTGCCAACCCAGAAGGATGATGCAGAGCTGGTCACACCACCACCGACCAATCACACACAATCTTCGTCACCGACCAGCTCCCTACCTACGGTCAGTGCAGCAGCCCTTGATGGCAAGTCATTTGATGGCGCAGTGCAACCCCGAATCATGCAGTCTCTGCACGGACTTTCTTCACCGCCTTCCAAGCCGGCGGCGTCACAATTGCTCACCATGCACAGCACGCCTGCAGACGTCATCAAGTACTACACATGGACTAGTGATCAACCACGCTTGTATCTCAAGCAATCGCCCACCACCACTACTTTGGCGTCATTGATCAAGTGGGCCAATCACCCATCCCGTCTCAACGGCAACAAGTCCTTGGAATCCATGTCGACCCAGCTCTTTCAGGCGCGTCAACGCATCCCAAAAGGAGACGCACCTACGTTTGGGGCGATGGCGGCTCTGTGGGGACTGGAGCCTGGCTACCTCACCAAGCTCACTGACAAGGCGTTGTGTCACCTCATCGTGACTGCCCGCTTACTCACAGGGTGAGCAGTTACCTTCGTTCACTTATGAGCCCGGAGTGGCAGCTGTGTCATGATTGATGAATGGTTCAAAACTTGTCCGTCCTCTTCTTGCTCTGCACTTGTTTGATGATGTGCTTGTCTTTGCTTGCGTTGTGAATTGCTTGCTGTTAATTGCCGCTTGCATTCCTGTCGCCGCCACATTGTAGATTTCATTGGTTGCATGTTCACCATGTTGGCTGAGCTTCGCCGCTGTGGAATCTATGATGATGTTGCACAATGGCATTCCTTAGATTGACAATGTTCTCTACGTGCTGGCAATACTGCTTTCCTGGACTTCCACCACCGTCGATACCAATGGATGAATATGAGTCAGTTGAGCGGCTACCTTGGCTGGGCCTTATTCTGGAAGTACTAGTTGTGGTTCGGATCGCACTTCAGATCCCGATTCACTCCATGTCGCAGTCTTATCACACTGTGGCCAACAGGTATGAACTTCACAGGTGCCGGTGCACTGCCTATTTATTGATCAGTTTCTTGCAGCGTCTCATTTCTCAAGATTATGGGTATGTCCCGCCGTTTTTCGAGGTTCTTCACTTCTACAAGACGTCTCTGTTGTGTGAAATCATGCATTCCACTTTTGCGGACACAAGACACCTTCGCTCACTACGGACACGTTTCCCGGACCTCTATGACTTCATTCAAGATCCAGGTCACCATCAACAACCATGCGTCTACATCAGACTTTCTGCATGGCACAGTCCATACTACGTTGGAGCAACTCATCAGAATGTTCTTCGACGAGAACACTCACGCAGTCGCTAATTTCTACAACTACTTCGGGGACGCCATGCCTTCTTCGAACCTGCACTTCACTACTGGAAGCGATCCAACACTTACTGGCTTTTCTGTGCCATTCCGGTTGAGATCAAACTTCCCATTTCCTCGGTTTGGGTCCAGGAAAGCA